CAAGTCCTTGGGCCCCTGCACCTGCGTGGGAGACCAGAAGAAGCTCCTAGCTCCTGGCTTTGGATCAGCACAGCTCTGGCCATTGCAGTCATTTGGGGAATGAACCAGCAGATGGAAGACCTTTCTCTCTCTCTGCCTCTACCTCTCTGTAACTCTGCCTTTCAAATAAATAAATAAATCTTTAAAAAATTTTTAATTTGCATCTTTTTAATGGCTAATATTAATAAACATCTTTTCATGGGATTATTTGCCATTCATTCATTTTGTTTAGTGGAATACCTGTTCACAATTTTTGCCCATTTCTCACTGAGTTTTTTGAACTATTTGATTTTAAGAGATTTGTGCATTTCTAGATAATAGTCCTCCGTCAGATATGTGTTTTGCAAATATTTTTTTCAAGTCTGAATCTTGCCTTTTCATCCTCTTAAAAGACTATTTCACAGAGCAAAATTTTCTTTTTATTTTGATGATTCATGAGTTCTCCTTTGGTGGGTCATATTTTTGGTGTCAAGTCCAAGAAGTCATTGTCTAACCCTAAATCCTAAAGATTTCTTCCTATGTGTATTTTTCCTAGTTCTATATTTACATGTAAGTCTGTGATGTATTTTTTGAAAGATTTTATTTGAGAGGTAGAGTTAGAGCGAGAGCGAGAGCGAGAGAGAGAGAGAGAGAGTGTGTACAATGCCAGAGCTAGGCAGATCTGAAGCCAGGAGCCAGGAGCTTCCTCCAGGTCTCCCACATGGGTGCAGGGGCTCGAGCACTTGGGCCATCTTCCACTGCTTTCCCAGGCCATAGCAGAGAGCTGGATCAGAAGCAGAGCAGCCAGGACGTGAACCGGCGCCTATATGGGACGGCAGCACCGCAGGCAGAGGCTTAGCCTACTGCACCACTGCGCTGGCCCCCGTGATGCGTTTTCAGTGGATTAAGCTTTGTGGAATTTCACTGTATCCATGCCCGATTTGACATTCAGTAACACATCCAGATGCAAGGGGCTGCCTGTGCAGATTTCTAGAGCTTTCTCTGCTCTCCGACACCTGCCAGGAACCTCCAGCCTCCCCATTACACGGTATTGCCTCTGCTGCAGGGTGTGTCTGGCTCATCAATTACTCTCCGAGTTCCTAAGCAGGAAACAGCCGACAAATGATGCAAAGAGAAAGACGTCCCAGCGCCAGCCTCAGTCATCCCCACATGAGCCCGAGGTAGCAATGAGGCAACTCGAGCAGAGATGGTGACAGCGCCTTGGGCAATAGGTTTACACAGTAGCATCTGTGACGCTGCTGTCTCTCTCCGGGCCGTCATTCATCCTTTTTCCTACACCCTCGTCTCCCCAGTTCCTCCAGCCTCCCCGAGGAGCCAGAAAATTGGCTGCCACCCCAGCGCTGGGCTCCCAAGCATCATCTAAAGTTTTAGACTCAACATGGGGATAAATCATGTCAAGTCTGCCCCCAGAGAACCTTCCTAAAAGGAAACACTGTTTCTCTACTCCCAGCACTCCTAACACCAAATGTGTGAGTTTTTCACAACAAGCAACTCCCCCAGTTCTCTGCAGATACCCCCTGGGTGCCCTCCAATGTGACTCAGTCCTAACAGTTTCCAGGAGCTGGCACAGAGCCGGCAGGGTTAGCCCTCAGTCCTGCAAGACTGTCCCTGCTTCAGTGCCAACCACAAGTAGCAGCCCCAAGTTACGCACACTTCTGCCCTACTCGGCTACACACCGGAGATTCCTACAACCCTCAGTTTCGATCATCTGTGGCTCACAGAACTCAAGGAAACACTTTCCTTGGTATTGCTGGTTTACCGTAACGGATGCCGCGACTCAGGAGCAGCCAAACAGAAGTGCCTACCCTGCCCCCGGAGACGAGCCCCTCTCTCCGCCTCTCGGTGTGTTCACCAACCTGGGGGCTCACGACACCCGCAGCTCAGGATCCCCGTGGGGTTCCCTATGATTAAGTCACTGGCCACTGGTTATCGAGTCGGATCTCCAATCCCTCCCCCTTCGCCAGAGATGGGAGGAGGCTGAGAGTTCCAACCTCCTGACCCACTTAGGGGATGCTCCGGCAACCGGCCCCTCCTCCCAGAGCCGCCTCCCGGCACAGGCTCAGGCATGGTGCAGTAACAACAGGCTCTTCGGCCCCTATCAGAAAATCACAGAGAGGGGCCGGCACTGTGGCGTAGCGGGTAAAGCTGCCGCCTGCAGTGCTGGCATCCCATAGGGGTGTCAGTTCAAGTCCTGGCTGCTCCACTTCCGATCCAGCTCTCTGCTATGGTCTGGGAAAGCAGTATAAGATGGCCCAAGTCCTTGGACCCCTGTACCCACGTGGGAGACCAGGAAGAAGCTCCTGGCTCCCAGCTTCGGATCGTCACAGCTCCGGCCATTGCGGCCAATTGGGGGAGTAACCAGCAGATGGAAGACCTCTCTCTCTCTCTCTCTCTCTCTCTCTCTACCTCTTCTTCTCTCTGTGTGTAAGTAACTTTCAAATAAAATAAATAAAAATAAAAAAAGAAGAAGAAAAGAAAGAAAATCACTGAGGTGTGGCGTGCCGGGCACCAGGGAGAGATGAGATGGACGCGTTTCTGGGTTGTCACACACTGATTTTCTGAGTGCTGTGGTTCCCACTGAAGAGTTGGAAACCCCGGGATGATTCAGGTCTGACACTTCTAGCAGAAAGGAAGGCTGTGGGAGAGGCGCCTGGAAGAGGAAGTGGGCGGCGGAGGAGACATGGGTCTTGACCGGTGCTTCTCCCAAGGGGAGGCTGACAGCTCTCCAGAGAAATCCAGGCCATGGCTGAGTTTTGCTTGGATGACTTCATATTTCCTATTTTTTTTTTAGCTTAATTAAAAAAAAAAAAAAAGCACATTCAGAGGCCAACGTTGTGGCACAGCAGGTTAAACTGAAGCTTGCGATGCTGGCATCCCATACGAGCATGGTTCCAGTCCTGGCTGCTCCACTTCTGATTCAGCTCCCTACTAACGCTCCTTGGAAAGCAGTGGAAGACGGTCCAGTGCTTGGGCCCCTGCACCCTTGAGAGACCTAGATGGAGTTCCAGGCCCAGCCCTGGCTGTTGTGGCCATTTGGGAAGTGAATCAGCAGATGGAAGACCTCTCTCTCTCTCTCTCTCTCTCTCTCTCTCTGTAACTCTGCCTTTCAAATAAATAGAAATATCTTTAATAAAAATTCTTAAAAAGTACGTATCGTCACACATGTTTTGGTCAATGACGAGCTGCACTTAGCCCGATAGCCCTATTTGATTACAGCATCCTGTGACACTGTAACCATCTCATTTGTTGTATAAGCACAGAATGTGATGTTTGCACAGCCATGAACTCACCTAATGACACATATCAGAATGTAGGCTTTGTGTTAAGCCATCCATGACCATATTGCACAAAATTCCAGAATTTCCCAGCATCCTTGACCAATCGGAAGATATGAAACATTGCGCCCACATTCCTGCCTGACAGCAGTTGGCCAACACCCTGCCGGCACTGCCCTTTCCTGAAGGTATACGACCTATGCTTTGCCATAGTCTCCACCGTGCCCTATTGTCCCCCCAACTCTGTGCCTCACAGGGTTTGTCCTGCACCATGAGTTAGCACGGTTCTTCCTCCTCCCAATGCGTCTCCTAGTGGATCTGAGTGTCCCGATCTGAGCGTGTCTTGGCTGGTGCGATCCCTTAATGGAAGAAACAAACTCCAAGAGGAGACAGGATCCGACAAGAGCAAATCAATGGCAGAATTGGAACCAGAACCCCAATGGCCGTTCCCCCCAAGGACATCCTGGTCCTGAACGCACACCCTTGCGGCCGTGCCTGGAAGGTGTTTTCCTCAGAGTCCCCAAAGGGAAACTGAGGCCCAGGCAGCCATGAGGACTCCCCTCCTCACATGAAGTGGCCTTGGGGCTGAACAGGTTGGAGAGGAACAGCCTGACCCCGACCACGCAGGTGGAGATGGCGCTGGTGTGATCATGAGATGTGGGCATGAAATCAGCGCAAACCCGGGAGGCCGAGAAGGGGGCCAGAGGTCTGTAGGGCAGAGGGCAGATCGGGAGGGGAACGCGAGTCCACACTGTGGGTGCCCGACCCTTCCTCCACAGCTCCCCACTTCTGCCTTGGGCAAGCGTTTCACAACACCCCGAGCAGTGACTGCGCGAATGTCCTCTCCTGGTGACGCAAGCCATGGGAACCCAGCGGAGGGTGGGTGCGGGCTGTGGGCGCACACATTCATTCACGCAGCCCAGCACCCGGAGAGGGGCTGACGCCTCAAGAGCTGTCCAGCCCGCGCCCCCCCTTAGAGAGGCCTGGGGGCCTGTGTTCTCATCATGGGTGAGTAGTGGCCTCCGGGGACAGGACCTGATGGAGGGGCCAGGGTGGAGGAGGAGACCAGGTCTGGGGGAGACTTGTGGAGGCAGAGAGGTCCCTGGTCCCCCCCGGAGTCCTGGTCTGGACGACAGTTCTGACTCCAGATGCGCTGGGGGTGGGTCCTTGGTGGCTCCCGCTTGTCTGCTCTCAGGGATCAGGGCCCCGGGAACTTGCTTGTCTGCTGGAAGAGGCAGAGGGCCAGGCTCAGGGGCAGACACGGTGGCCAGAGCTCTTTCCCAGAGCCCAGAGCCCCTCTCACATCCTCTGAGAGGTGAGACCCACTGCCCACCTGTTCTCCGGCACATGCGCTCCAAGGGTGGCAGTGATGGACCCAAGGTCGAGGTCAGGGACTTTGATTTCTTCTCCACTCTGCCAGGAGGAGGTGGGGGAAGGGAGCAGGTGGCTTGAACCCTGGGCTGCCAGAAAGAGGCAAGGCGCTCACCATGCCTTCTGGGCGCCCCGTGCAGGCGACAGAGGTGCCTCAAAGCCGAGCTATGGCTCCATCTCCAGCCCGCCAAGCCCAGGGCCAGAGCGAGCGCCTCCCGGAGGAACCTACTTGAGCCAGAAGATCGCCATCCCAGACACAGAATCGGTGCGAATTCGGGAAACCCCTGGCGGTGGGGCTGGGGGAGGTTTCAGCCACGGCAGGACCCCCTGGGTCCTCACGGGCGGGAAGAGGGCCGCTGCCTGCCATTGGGGCAGTCCCTCTGATATCTGAGCAGCAGCGACTGTGCCCTCCAGCACCTATCTGGGCTGCTCAGCATTTGTCTAAAACTGACCAAACAGCTTGCTGAGCTAATCTCAGCTTTCCCTGGGAGAGCAAGGGGCCTGGGGTGAGCTGGGCTTGGGGCCTCCAGCACTTGTCTCAGCATTAAGGGAAAGGCCCCAGGCAAGGGACAGTGCTGTGCATGACCCTGCACTTCCAGAATCTTCCGCAGATTCCTAGGCTGGCCGGCCAAGCCCCTGATGGGCTGGGGGCCTGTGGCCTGAGAAGGGGCTGGGCAGGGGTGGGGGTGCTGGACCAGCCAGCGGGGCTGGGCTCTGGAAACCCCTTCCCCTTCCTGGAGGCGCTGAGTCAAGCCCACAAAAGCAGGCAGGTCAAGTGCAGGCCACTGCTGAGATTGCTGAGTGTGAGATCCAGAAGGCAGATCCTCCGTGACTCAGCGGATCCTGCCGGCTCCTCCACCCGCTGGATGGTGCGAAGGCAGGGAGGGGGTGGGCTGGCTGAGGCGGGCTGCTACCGCCCCCAGAGCCAGGACCCCTCCCCTCCACAGGGCACGTTCAGCCTGCGGAAGCTGTGGGCCTTCACCGGGCCTGGCTTCCTCATGAGCATTGCTTTCCTGGATCCCGGGAACATCGAGTCGGATCTTCAGGCCGGCGCCGCGGCTGGATTCAAAGTGACTGAGTCGGGAGTCTGAATGAGGGTGCCCTGGGGAGGGAGCTGAGCAGGCCAAGTGGGTGGACACCGGCACCCCGGCTGGCCGTGTTTCCCAGAATGGACTTCCTAGGGGCAGGGGTTAAGTTCCAGGGGCCAGAGAAGGGTCTCCAGGGCCACCTTGCAAGAGAGGGAGGTGGGGTGGGGGGATTGGTCTCCCTCCATCCCCTCCACCCTCTCCGCACAGAGTGCCACAAGCCAGGGCTCTCTGAGACTCACGCCTTTGGCTCAAGGCCTCCCCCTGCCTTGTCACAGCTGCTCTGGGTCCTGCTCTGGGCCACCGTGTTGGGCTTGCTGTGCCAGCGACTGGCTGCCCGGCTAGGTGTGGTGACGGGAAAGGACTTGGGCGAGATCTGCCACCTCTACTACCCTAAGGTGAGCGGGGCGGGGCAGCACAGGGAGCACCTGCAGGTGCAGCACCATGGCTTCCATGATCAAGTAAACGCGTCCCTCCCCTGAGCCAGCACAATCCGTTTGATGAAAAGCCTGAGGTTCAAACTGATCACGCACAGACGGAGAGGGGCAGCGAGGCGATGAGAATCAGGGCAAGTGACTTAGCCAAGGGAAAAAAAAAATCATTGGCTGCAGTGGACCCTGGAGTCTTGGCTGTCACCAGTGTCTAGTTAGGAAAACAAAGGTTATACCTCCAGGATATGTCCAAGATATTTAAGGCAAGGGTTTAGTGACAAAGATGTTGGGAGGGCTGGAGGAGCAAGGGAAGACGGTGTTACCCAAAGATCAGACAGGTGCGGCACCCTTGGCACTCACTGCGGAGCTTCCGGAAGCCTGGCTCCCGCTGTGCAAACCGCCACCCACACGGCCACCCACACGGCCAGAGCCCAGGCTGCCACTGCCTCCCGAGCTCCGACGAGCATTTGTCCTGCAACCTTCCAGCCTAGCCCAGAGCCCATTCCCGCAGGGGAGGGGAGGGGTGAGACAAGAGACAAAGCGCACCCCTACCCCGCCTTGGTTAAGGGCCGCCTCCTCTGCCAGGTGCCCCGGATCCTCCTCTGGCTGACCATGGAGCTAGCCATCGTGGGCTCCGACATGCAGGAGGTCATCGGCACGGCTATTGCGTTCAACCTGCTCTCAGCCAGACGGTACCGCCCCAGTGGGCCCCCGCCACTTCCCCGGGGGGCCGGGTAACCCTCTGAGTCCGTTCTACCCCGCGTGTCCCTCTCCCCTCCCCAGTATTGCACGTAGGGCTGCTGTCCTGGCTTCCAGAAACGAGGAGGGGCTTGTGTCTAGCCCACCCCTCAGCTATGCCCTGCCACAGGCGCTCCCTCCCCGTGCCCTGGCCGTCTGGGGCCCCCGGTGGCCTCGTGGCTCAGCTGCTCCCCAGAGGCTGGGTCCCCCAGCGCCTGGACCCGGCTGGGCTGACCCGGGATCTCTGGCTTCAGAATCCCGCTCTGGGGAGGCGTCCTCATCACCATCGTGGACACCTTCTTCTTCCTCTTCCTCGACAACTACGGTGGGTGTATCCTCGCTCGGCAGCACTTAGACTTGGGTTTCTGCACCCACTGCGTGGGGGACCCAGCGGCGCAGCCGGCACGGGGCCGGGACGCAGATACTGTCATGCACCTGGCCCAGCGCCCTGCGACAAGCGCTCAGGACAGGAGCCGCCGGTCACGGCTTTGTTCGCTCGGCTCTGCCCCTAGGACTGCGGAAGCTGGAAGCGTTTTTTGGACTCCTTATCACCATCATGGCCTTGACCTTTGGCTACGAGGTGAGAAGCCAGAGCTGTAACCCGCGTCTCCCAAGGTCACTGCTCTCTCCTCCCCGCAGCCTGGCCCGAGGGGAGAGAGGGCGGGGAGAGACCCTTAGCCACGCCCCCTCGCCGCCGGGATGGGGAGAGGGCGATCCCCGGCGATCCCCGCTGACCAGGCTCTCCCTGCAGTACGTGGTGGCGCGGCCCGAGCAGGCAGCCCTGCTCCGGGGCCTGTTCCTGCCCTCGTGCTCGGGCTGCGGCCAGGCCGAGCTGCTGCAGGCCGTGGGCATCGTCGGCGCCATCATTATGCCCCACAACATCTACCTGCACTCGGCCCTCGTCAAGGTGAGCAGTGGAGAGAGGCCCCTCCCTTAGAGCAGTGCGGGCCCCGCCCCCGCGCCTGGAGCCTCACGGAGGGTAATGGGTTCTCCACTACCCACTGGTAGCTGAGGTTTAAGGACCCTGCATCCTAGCGGAGATGTGACCGGTGGCCAAGTGAACTCTGGGGGCAGCAACTGAGAAGTCTGGTGGTGGATGGGGGGCTGGGAGATTGCGGGCAGAGGGGACAGCCAGTGCAAAGGTCCTGGGGTAGAAACTATCCCAGCGCAGAGCACTCAGGTGGTGAATGAGGGGGCGTGGCAGGGCGGGGGGGGGGACTCCGAGGTCAGTGTTCCCTCCCTCACTGGTCACTGTGGTGGACTGGCCAGGGCCTGTTCCAGACAGCCAAGGAGGGACTTGCAAAGGAATGGGGATTTGGGGGAAATCATAAGAAGTGTGAGTGGGGGGCACTGGGTGACTGCAGGACTTTGGCCATGCCCTCCACTGCTGACCTCCATAGTCTCGAGAGATAGACCGGACGCGCCGCGCGGACGTCCGCGAAGCCAACATGTACTTCCTCATTGAGGCCAGCATCGCCCTGTGCGTCTCCTTCATCATCAACCTCTCGGTCATGGCCGTCTTCGGGCAGGCCTTCTACCAGCAAACCAACCAGGCCGCGGTGAGACACAGCCCCCGCCCGGTAACCATGCCTCTGCCCCCCCCATGCGTGTGCGGCCCCGCCCCTACCCATCCCAGACCGCAGGCATGAGCCCTCTCTCCTGAGTGTCTTCATGGTCACAAGGAAACCGCTATCCGCCATCCACTCAGCAGACAATGAGCACTTGTTGGTGGCCTGCGGTGTTTCCTGGAGCCTGGGGACAGAGCAGTCAGTGGCCTCTTGCCGCTTACATGGGGTGGGGGGGATGAAGAAATAGAAGCAAGGGGGAAGTCCAGAGTGGGAGCAGCCCTGGGAAAGAGAGGAGGTGATGAAGCGTAATTGGTGGGGACGGGAGGCTTCCTGGAGGAGGTGGCATTTGAGCTGGCTCAGAACGGAGCAGGGGCTGTCCTCCCAGCTCTTAAGGATTGGGACCTGTGTGTCTCCCCTCCCCAGAGGCAGGCGCAACACTGGGGGGACCTGGGTGCTGCCACTGCCTTGCCGCGCCCCTCCCGGGGTGTCATTCTGTGCCCCGGGCAGGAGAACCCTGGCCACCGCAGGGCAGGGCTGTGGGGAGAGGTCAGCTGGTGGAAACCGGGCTCCCACGGCCCCTGCCCAAGCCACCCCGCCCTATGCGCACACGCAGCCTTTACAGGCCAAGAAAAGCTGCGAACTCTTCTCAACTTTAAGCCTCAGCAAGAAATTCGCATTCAAGGAAAAAGTCGACTTGCAGCCAAAATTTGAGCTCGGGTCCGGGCCGGCGCGGGTCTGATTTTCCCTTTCTCCCTCCGGGCCGCCCCCGGTGACCGCAGCACAGCCTGTGCGCCAACAGCAGCCTGCACAGCTACGCCAACACCTTCCCCGCCGACAACCACACGGCGTCCGTGGACATCTACCGAGGAGTAAGCAAGCGCGCGAGCGTGAGCGGGGAGCGCGGGCCACGCCCCCGCGGGCGGGACCACGCGCGACCACACCCCCTCCCCCCAGGGCGTGATCCTGGGCTGCCTCTTCGGCCCCGCAGCGCTCTACATCTGGGCTGTGGGTCTCCTGGCGGCCGGGCAGAGCTCCACCATGACCGGCACCTACGCGGGACAGTTCGTGATGGAGGTGGGGCGTGGGGCGGGCGTCAGGCCCCCAGGACAAGAACAACACACGGGGGCCGGGGTGTGTGAGGGGCGGGGCAGTGACCTTGGGGGATGCTGCAGACCAGGACTAACCCATGAGCCTTTGCCCGAGACCTGGTTAGCCTGCAGCCACCGGCTATAGGAGGGGACCCACATACACTCCCCCCCCCAGCCCCTCTCCACTGACTAGGGACAGAAATGACCCAGGAGTGTCCCCAGGCATGAACCGGGCCGAGGGACTACAGAGGGTCTCCCCTCGAGAACCCCAGTCCGGCACGCACCCCCACCCCAGGGTTTCCTGCGGCTGCGCTGGTCTCGCTTCGCCCGCGTGCTCCTCACTCGCTCCTGCGCCATCCTGCCCACCGTGCTCGTGGCCGTCTTCCGGGACCTGAGGGACCTGTCCGGCCTAAACGACCTGCTCAACGTGGCGCAGAGCCTGCTGGTGAGGCGGCTCCCCCGCCTGCCGCCCAGCCCAACAGAACGCCCCCCCCCACGGACCCCTCCCCCCTCCCCCGGGGCCTGCCAGGGCCCGCCTGCAAGGCTCCCAGAATCCCCACAGTGCCCCAGGGGGTGGGAATCACCATTCTCCCCCATTTTACAGAGGGGGACAACTGAGGCATGGGGTTCAGTATTCGAACTCAGGCAGCCTTCTCTGGCTTGCGGCCTCACAGCCTTGGGAGGCTTAGAGGGGAACAGGCTCGGGGCAGGCAGAGGAGGCAGGGTCCCCCCACCCCCCTCCCCGCATCCCCCCTCCCCTCCCGCTGCGTTCCCAGGGCAGGTGCAAGCTCTCCTCCCTCGCTCTCAGCTGCCCTTTGCTGTGCTGCCCGTTCTCACATTCACCAGCATGCCTGCCCTCATGCAAGAGTTCGCCAACAGCCGGTGAGTCCCCCCCTCCCACCCCCCGCACTGGGCTCCTGTCTCCGTCCCCACGACATCCCAGAGGTAGGAATGGCCAGATCCCAGAGGCGGGAGAGCTTGCCCAGGGTCACACAGCTGGCGAGTGGGGGAGCCGGGACTGGAGTCCAGGGGCGGGGGCTCCTGCTGCTGCCTGAGTTCTCATTCTCACCCTGATTCTGCGCTTGCTGAATCCCGCCAGCGTGGCGCCTGGAGGGCAGCAGGCCCCTCTCCCCCACCCTCCAGCTGTGGGCCCTGGAAGAGGAGGAGGAGGAGGAGGTGCAGGGGTCCCTGCATCGAGCCAGTCCTGAGTCTCCCTCCTGTGCCCCAGGCTGAGCAAGGCTGTCAGTGTCTCCATCATGGCGCTGATCTGTGCCATCAACCTCTACTTCGTGGTCAGCTACCTGTCCAGCCTCCCTCACCCTGCCTACTTCGGCCTCGTGGCCCTGCTGGCTGCCGTCTACCTGGGCCTCACTACCTACCTGGTACAGTAGGGCCAGGGGTACCTCGGGGGTGGGGTAGGCAAGGAGCGGGGGCCCCAGAGTGGGGGTGTTGGGGCTGGGGGAAATGCTGGGGCGCCCTCGGCCCCTCCCCCCTGACGGCCGCTCCTCCCATAGGTCTGGACTTGCTGCATTGCACAAGGAGCAGCCTTCCTGGTCCACAGCTCCCACCAGCGCTTCCTGTATGGGCTCCCTGAAGAGCTGCAGGAGAACAGCGAGACCCACGGATGATCCCCTGCACGCGGCTTGGCTTGGGAGGCTTCGAGGGCGGAGCAGACTGGCCTGCTGCACAGCAGGATGGAGTGGGAGAGTGTAGGAGCCAGGCCAACCTGGGGCCCTTAGGGTCCTCTGGTTTCCTAGGTTACACAGCTGAGGACCCTCTGGACCTCAGTGTCCTCATCTGTAAGATGGGCACAGCGCCAGCCTTGCCACTGATGTGAGTGCCCGGCACTTGGGACTTTTTTATTTTTTTTTAAATCACTCCTAGATACTTACTGATCGCCATATAGGAGTGACCGCACAGATCCATAGGGGTTGGGGTGCGGGTGGGGGTGGCACAGGCTCCTAACTTAAAATCTGATGAATGAGAAATAAATGCCAGCTCACTTCTCATCCCAAAGGCCTGGGAAAAGAAACGCACAAGGCAAGCGAACATCGCTCAGACTCAAGTGTCCGGCTCGCTTTTACCGCCCGCGGGCATCCTTTTCTACCTGCAACCCGTTTTCTGGGTCGTAAAAGGGAGGCGCCAGGTCGTGAGGAACCCAAGAGTCCGTGCCTCCGAGGCCCGAGTCACTGGCCATCTCCCCAGGGACCTGGCGGCCGCGACTCCCACGCTGCCCCGCTTCTCACTCCCCGCTCGCTGGCTCTCGGCTCCCCCTAGGGGCAGGGACCATCCCAAGCGCAGGCTCTCGAGCCTCGGCCTCAGCCCCCTCGGCCGAGCGACGGGAGGCGAGCGCGCGGGTGTGGAGTCCCGGGACCCAAAATCTACCCAGGCGAGGAGGTGCGGGGATCCCCCTCTAGCCGCGGGGAACGGCTGAGCACCCCTTCGCCTCGAGCAGGGGCTGAACTTTACAGACGCTCCCTAGACTGTTTCTAGGCTCCCCTAAGCCCCTCCTCCGGGAGCCTCCAGTCGCTCGGACCCCAGCCCAGGGGCTGCGGAGACCCAGGCCTAGGCGGTTCCTTCCCAGAATTGAGCCTGGGGCGGGTGCTGTGCCTGGAAGTGTCCCCGATTTCCCGGGGACCCGGCGGAGCGGACGGCCCGCTCCGCGCTCGGGTTGGGGCGCTTGTTTATGAGAAGAATTTCCTCTTTCTTAAAAGGGCAACAGTGCGAGTGGGGCCCGCGAGGAGAGGGCGCGGAGCGCTTCTGGGCCGACCACGGAGGTTGGTCAGTAGGCCCCCCCCCCCCGCTCCCCGTCTCCGGGAGAGGACGGCACCCGGGGGAGTCGGAGGAGAGGGTGCATGGGTGCTGCTGGGGGAAGAAGGGCGCCTTCCGGCCCTACAGCACCCCTGTTCCCGCGGTGGTCAAGTCACTTGGCATTAGCTGGGTGCCAGGCCCTGTGCTGACTAGGTGGGCAGGGATGTAAAGTGTAGAACTGAAAATGGCAGCCCTCGCGCAGACGGGGGGGTGGGGGGTGGGGGTGGGGTAACCAGATGACCAGCAAGAGACCCCACAGCAGGATGCGGTCTGAGTGGGGTGGGCGCGCTTGGTGGGAGGAGGGTCCAGGGGCTGGAGTCGGGCCTGAGTCAGGACGGGGGATCCCCAGAGATGGGCAGCAACCCGGAGAATTCAGCCCAGAGCTCGGGAGCAAAGACATCTGAGGGCCGGCTAAAGGCTGCCCTGGGGGCCAGAGTTAATGGTGAGGTGGAGCCAAGGTCAGCCCTTGGCAGAGAGGGAGGCGCCTCTTTGGGGCTGTCCCCACCCCCGCAGCTTTGATCTCCGGGCTCGAAAGCGGAGCACGAGGGGCCTTTTCCCTCTCCCGTGTCCACTGAGGGTGGGAGTGGCCCAGCACCTGGGGACACCCCGGGAGACTGCCCGCGACCCCAGCCCCACTTGGCAGATGGAGACGGCGCGTGTCCTTCCCTCCCGGAATTCGCAGCCCCCAGGTTTTCCTGAGAATGCAAACCCGCGGAGCAGACACACTGCGTGGGTACAGCGCCTCCCAGCGGCCGCAGGAGGGACGGGCAGCTGGTGGCGGACACCCCCACAGCCCGCCACCCAGGAGCACTCGCCAGGCTGGGGCGGACCCTAGGGCCCCAGACTCCAGGACTTGGGAGTCGGGAAGGGGAGGGGGAGGTCCTCCTCCAGGACACGCGGCTCGCAAAGGCTTGGAGCTGACACAAGGGGCGTGTGTTGGGGAGCTCCGAGTGGCCTGTCTGGGAATGGCGGGTGGGGGGCTCAGCAGTCCGGCCCTGCCGAGTGCTCTGTCCCCGCCTAAGCTCCTCGGAGCGCCACGGGGACAGCAGGCCAGACTTGACCGCCCCCCCCCCCCCGCCTTTAACAGCGGCAGAAGCCGAGGAGGGAGGCGCCCGCCCTGCCCAGGCCAGGGGCAGGGTGTGGGTCCCCTCAGCCCCACGCCAGCATTTCCGTTCGGGCTCAGTGCAGGCCGGGCATTCGAAAATAAGACTGGAATCCGCTGGTGCCTTCGCAGGAGGCGCGCCGCTGCGTTCTTGGGAGCTGAGTTCCCCGGTCCGTCCCGTGGACGGGGCAGGGGGTCGCTGGAGCAGATGGGATTAGAGCAGCAGCCGCAGCTGGGGCCGAGCGGGCGAGTCCTCCCCGGCCCCCGCCGCTCGCGTCACCGGACGCGGAGCACCCGCCCGGTGCCGCTCTCCCCAAGGCCCCCGCTGTCGGCTCCCCTCCGAGGGGCCGGACGCGACCGGACGCGCCCGCCGGGAGGAAGTGGCGAGGCGTGTTTGCTGACCGGCGTGGCGCTGTGGTTATTTTTTAAATTGTGAGCACTCGAGGGAAAGGGATAAATAAACGGGAAGGAAGACCCCACGACACGGAGCTTCCCGCGTGGAAACGCCACGCGGGGGGTGCGTCTCCGCTGCCCCTGGCGGGGGGCGCGTTTAAAGTGCCAGCATCTGCCCACCGGGGGGCTCTGCGCCTGCCGTGGGAGGCGCTGGGCTGACACTTGGGAACCGAGCCAGCGCCCCGGCACCCCCTCAGTAACCACAGAGGGGCCGGCACGCTGCGAGGAAGGGGGCCGCGGGCACGGGGGTCCTAGGTCGGGGAGGCGCTCCCGCTGGACGGGAGTCTGCCGGGAGCATCCCCGCAGGCAGTTGGGTTTTGCACGCTTTACAGCCCGGGACTGGGGTCCCCCGGCCCCAGGAGACCGCGGTGGGCGGGGACGGCGATCCTGTGGATTTGCATAGGTGTTTGCATCTAGCAAAGAGCCTACGCTCACTCGCGACGCCCCTACTAGGTGGCCCCTGCCGCCATCAGACAGAAGACCCATTTTATCGCGAAGAGGGCGCTAAACCCATTTCCCAGATGGGCAAATCGAGAGGCGGCTGGTCCCCGGCCCTTGGAATGCGCGGAGGTGGGGCTGTGCCCGCCTCGGGCACTCCCCGGCGTGGGCACTCGGGGCGGGCCCTGGCCCTGGGCGCTCTGCGGTCTGCAGCAGTGGGCCGGCTGTGGCCCGCCACGCAGCCGCAGAGACTCAGCCCAGTCCGAGGGCGGCAGGAAGGGGGCTACGCCCCCTAGATCGCGGCAGGAACCCGGCCTGGCCCGCCTCCCCGCCCGCGAGCCGCGCCGGCCCCAGAAGTGATGAAAGCCTCGGCGGAGTCCAGGTCACGCCGAAGCCGTTGCCCTTTTAAGGGGGAGCCTTGAAACGGCGCCCGGGTTCCATGTTTGCATCCGCCTCGCGGGGAGGAAACTCCATGTTGTAACAAAGTTTCCTCCGCGCCCCCTCCCTCCCCCTCCCCCTCAGAACCTGGCTCCCCTCCCCTCCGAAGCTCGCGGGGATCCCTCCCTCCCACCCCTCCCCTCCCCCCCGCGCCCCGATTCCGGCCCGAGCCGGGGGGGAGGCCGGGCGCCGGGGCCAGAGTCCGGCCGGAGCGGAGTGCGCCCGGCCCCATGGACAGCTCGGCCGTCATTACTCAGATCAGCAAGGAGGAGGCGCGGGGCCCGCTGCGGGGCAAAGGTACGGGGGCCGCGGGGAGGGGGCCACAGCCCGGGCGCCGTGCAAAGGGAGGAGGGCAGGGCCGGGATCGCCCCCGGGGCAGTAGCCGCCCGCCGCCCGGGGCGCCCGCCGGGGCCCGGCTGGGAGCGAGTGGGCAGAGTTTGAACTCCGGGAGGCTCAGAGGCGCGGGGCGGGGCCTGGCGCCCGCTGAGCGCTCCTGTCTGCTCCAGGTAGGGAAACTGAGGCAGGGGTCGCGAGAAGGGGCTCCCTAGCTGGTCTGCGCAGTGCCCGGGCGTCGCCCCCTCCCCCCATTGGCGCCAGTGGGGCTGGGAGCTGGGGGGGTGCCGAGGGGGCGCCTTCGGGCCACCCGCTGAGGCTCCGCCCTGTGGGCTGCGGTCCGGTCGGCTCTTGGGAGTGGGCGCCGAGGTGACAGCGGGCTGGGGAGGCCTCCAGAGGTGTCTCGCCGACCCACAAACTTGCCCGCCACGCGTGGGGGTGCCGAGCCTCCCAGAGGCGCAGAGAGGGGGCAGCACTTTGGAGAGTCGCTGGCGCGCCCGCGGGGAGAGCCGTGCGCCCCGCGGGGCACGCGGCACCCGGGCTGCAGGCCATGGGTGCCGGGCCTGTGCGCACACGCAGTGAGCCGGGGAGCCGCACCGCCTCGCAGAGCCTGCACCCCGGGGCGCTGGCCGGGGCGGGGGTCTGTGCCCTCCCTTTCCCAAGTGGCCCTCCGGGCCAGGAAGTTTCCCCCAGGTCTTCCTCTACCACCACTTGCCTGGGCCTAGCTCGCCCGGGGCGGGGGCCAAAGGACAGGGGCAGGGGTGGGTCTGTCAATCAGGCCAGGCTCTGGGTCGGAGGTCTGGGCGGGGCGGGGGGGGGGGGTTGGAGGAGGCGGGGCGGACAATGGCCGCGGGACACTGGCCCCAGGCAGCAGGCTGCACTCACTTGGTCTGGGCCCAGCCTCTTGGAGGACTTCGGACCCACAGGGGCTGAGAGGATGGAGGAGGAGTGGGAGTGGATCACCGGACCCCAGGCCCTGGCTGTCCTGAGCAGGGGCAGCTCAGGTAAGGTGGGGTCAGGTGAAGGAGGCTGTAGGAAGTAGAGAAAGCAACATTGCACACCCCGTCCAGGCGACGCACTCTCTAACCTGCGTGCCGCTGTGTCCACACTAGACGTCCTCGCGGGGGAGCCGCGGGCACCGGTGGGGCCCCTGGCAGGGGCATGGCTGGTTCCTCCCAGCCGCGGCTCTCCCCGCGGCACGCATGCACGCCCGGCCGCCCCTGCAGGCGCAAGTGCCCAGACCCCCAACCTGGGCCTCCCTGCTGCAGGAGATCACAAGTCGGCAGCTTCCCAGAAGCCCCGGAGCAGAGGCATCCTACACTCGCTGTTCTGCTGCGTCTGCCGGGATGACGGGGAGGCCCTGCCCGCCCACAGCGGGGCTCCCCTGCTGGTGGAAGAGAATGGCGCCATCCCCAAGGTGTGTGGCGGCCAGGTGGGGGCAGCAGGGGGCCCTGGGCTCAGCAGGGAGGGGCTTAAGGGAAGGGGCTCCCAGGAAGCTGTGGGTGCACACCTGCAGACCTTGGGAGGTAAGGGAAGCCCCCCTCATTGGCCAAGGCCAAGTCCTCCTTAGCCTGCGCGCCCTCTGGCCCAAGAGTATCGCCCTCGCAGCTGGAAGCTTTGCTTTTGCATGTTCTCTGCATGGGAAAGCCAGCGGGCCTGCCGCAGGCCCCACCCCCCACCCCGAGTTGGTGGGGCCAAAGCTGGGAGGGGGTGGTATGTCCCCACGGTCCCGGCGGTCCCTAGACAGAGGGGATCCCTTATGGGAGAAATGACTGGGGCAGGAGAAAGATACCCCCACCCAACCCGCCCCTTCCCCCAGCAGACCCCAGTCCAGTACCTGCTCCCTGAGGCCAAGGCCCAGGACTCAGACAAGATCTGCGTGGTCATTGACCTGGACGAGACCCTGGTGCACAGCTCCTTCAAGGTGGGCGCCGCCCAGCCCCCTCAGCTCTGGCCTGGGCGGGAGGTCTCTGCTGGGCCCTGGCCCTGGCTCCCCATGCCAGCTCCAGCAGCTCTTGTGCCTCCCACAGCCGGTGAGCAATGCGGACTTCATCATCCCCGTGGAGATTGATGGGGTGGTCCACCAGGTGAGGGCCCCCAGGGCAGCCGGTGGTGGGGTCTTGGCACCTGCCTTCCACATCCCAGACTCCTCCCAGTGATCGGGAACCCCCCAGGTGGACGACCACCAGCCCAGAGAGGGTGCTAGACTTGCCCAGGGTCACACAGCACCTTGGGAACTAGGTTCCTCGAGGCACTCTCGGTGCCCCCTTGCCCCACCCTGCCCGGGACCCAGTTCAAGTAATTCAGGATAGGTTGTGTGCTGTCCAGCCTGTTCTCCATTACTTGGCTCGGGGGCCGGTGCCCTGCAGCCTTGGGGTGAAGGGGCTGCTCCCCCCACCCTACCCCGGGCTTCTGCCTCATCTGCCTGAGGTGGGGGAAGGACCTGGGAACTAGTGATGCCCATCAGGCGGGACCTGCAGCTGGTGAAGTCCAAGTCCATTCGGACCCTCTTCTGGGAGGGTGGGTGGCAGGCCTTGTGGGGCCCTCGAGGGACCACCAGCCTCCTGGGCTCCCCGCCTCCCCCAGCCGTCCCCTCACTGGCCCACCTCCCAGGTGTACGTGCTGAAGCGGCCCCACGTGGATGAGTTCCTGCAGCGAATGGGGGAGCTCTTCGAGTGCGTGCTGTTCACTGCCAGCCTTGCCAAGGTGAGCCCCCCACCCAGGGCACGCCGGGACAATGCTGCCCTCCCCTTGGCTTCAGCCTACAACAGGACAGACCTGGCCACCCGCGGCCTCGGGATGACCTGCTTCCCACCCCCTACCCAGTACGCAGACCCAGTGGCTGACCTGTTGGACAAGTGGGGGGCCTTCCGGGCCCGGCTCTTCCGAGAGTCGTGTGTCTTCCACCGGGGGAACTACGTGAAGGACCTGAGTCGGCTGGGCCGAGACCTGCGGCGAGTGCTCATCCTGGACAACTCGCCTGCCTCCTATGTCTTCCATCCGGACAACGCCGTGAGTCCCGGCGGACGGGCAGGGGCTGAGAGCCGGGAACAGGCTCACGGTGGTCAAGGCTGCCTCGGCTACCCTCATCCCGCTTTGGGGGCCCTGGGGCCCCCTGTCCCTCTCTCCTGCACCCAGTGACCTCTCATTCACCTCCAGCTGCTGCCCTGTGCTTGGTCATTCATCATCCCGTTCAGCTGTGCACACAGGCGGCCCCGCCACGGGCTGGGGTCCCTCCTGGGCAGTGGAGCATTGAGAAATGCCACTTGTCACCTATTAATGGGGCAGGACTGAGTGAGTCCCGATGGAGGTTTTGAACAGAATGACATAGGTATCTCAGAGTGCTCTGCACACGATAAGGTGGAGGGCTGTTGCTGGCTGTCAGGGCCGTGGGCTGCAGGTGTCCGGAGCGTACGGCTGCCCTGAAGGTTCTGCGCCCCCAGTTCCCTACTTCCGTCTCCCCAGGTACCGGTAGCCTCCTGGTTTGACAACATGAGCGACACGGAACTCCACGACCTCCTGCCCTTCTTTGAGCAACTTAGCCGCGTGGACGACGTGTACTCGGTGCTCAGGCAGCCGCGGCCCGGGAGCTAGTGAGGCGCGCAGGGGCCAGGACCTGCCCCGACCCGGTCCACACCGCACAGGCAGACTCCTCCAGGCGCCCCTGCCTGCGCCTGCGCCTGCGCCTGCGCCGGCGCCCGCGCCCTTTGCGGAAAAATCCAGGGGCAGCAGCGCCACACTCAGTGCCTTGGGGGAAATGCGTGTCTCCCCACCAGAACTGGCTGCAGGCTACAGCAAGGACAATGTACCCCTGGGCCCCTTTGTCAGTGCCTTTGAACTTCCCCCATCTTCTGGGGGGGGGAGCCCCGGGGCCCCTGCCTGCCACTCCCCTCTCTGTCTCCTCTCCAGCTGCCATGTTTTTTGCTGCCAAATCGGGCCCCTTGGCCCCTTCCAGTTCTGCTTTGGGAGGTGGGGGTGGGCAGGGTTTCTGCTGCCCCGAGCCTTGGACCTCCCAGCCTGGGAATGGTGGACACCAAGTGCCTTGCCTGGAACCCCTTCTTCCTCGCGTGGTTTTCCCAGGGGGCAGGGTCTCCAGCTGGGTCAGCTCCTGCCCACCACAGCCAGACTGCTGCAGTCCAGGCTGATCCAGGAGGACCCATCCCCTGCCCTGTCTTCTTTGGGACTTCGCCTCGGGGACAGGGGAGGAGAGAAAGGGGGCGGGGTCTGTGCAGCAGCGTCTGCAGGGCTGAGAGCTGCTTCCTGTCCCCCATCACCCACGCCCTCCCCCTGTCTGCCTTTACCACCCTCAGCGCTGGATGCAGTCGCAGGCAGGACCCCCCGTGGTGCCATATAAATATGTATATGTGTATATAGATTTTTAGGGACAGGAGAGAGGGGAGGGTCATGGCGAAGACACCTCTCTCACCCCTTTCCTGGGCCCGGGAACTGGGGGTAGGGAGGGAAAGATTTTTACATTTTTTTAACTGCTATTCTCTGAATGGAACAAGCCGGGCCCTGTTCTCTGTCCCTCACACCCCCTCTGCTCCATTCATTTCATTAATTCATTGATGCTAGACCCACCAGCTCAAGTGTGTATGTGGTGGGGGGGTGCTCTACACCCCCTAAACGGTGCCTCCCCCACCCACCCGAGATTTCACTGGTGCCTTTGGGGGAATCTGCAGGAGGTGGGACCCTTTTGTGGGATTTGGGGGTCTCCAGGAGCCCCTGGCAAGCTGCCCCCCTCCCTGTGCCAAGTCATCCCCCCCCCTGCAGCGCCCCCTGCTGGCTGGGGCGGCTCCCAGGACCTCTGACTCCCTGTTTCGGAAGCCCCTCCAGTACCTGCTGGGTTTGGAGGACTGACGGTCAAGGGGACCCACGTACTAGTGCCAAGGGGGAGTCCGGTGGAGATGTCGCTGTGTCCTCTCCCGCCAGCTGGGGTGGAGGGACCTTCCCATTAAGTGCCTTCTCTGTGACTGCGAGCCTTACCGAGCGGTGACAACTAAAGAGAAAGCGAGACCCCCATCCCGGCTTGCTGCTGTGGTCATTTTTGGGGATTGGAGGGGGACAGGAAGTGTCTGAAGCGGGGTGACCTGTGTGACCTCGCTTCAGCAAATCGTTTGGGGCTGCCGCAGGCTCGTGGGGCTCCCAGTGCGAGTCAGGGCTGCCTGCGCCCAGGTTGTACAGTATTGTTTTACCTCTCTCAGCTTCCACGGTCTGATCTCTGCAAACTTGAAATTCCAGGCCACAGACGGCTCAATACTGGGAGCTGCAAAGCACAACTCCAAAGCCGAGCAGAGGCGGCCCCTGGAATGCGTTTGGGGAGGGGGCGGGGCGTGCGAGGGTCCCCAGGGGAGACGTGACGGGGCACCAGGAGGCCGAGTCCCGCCGAGACCAGGACGAGCAAGCGGGGGCCCGGCCCCCCTCAAGGGCTGTGGGAGCGGTCGGGTGGGGCCGGCGCCTCGACGCCCCCCGGCCCCGGCCTCTCGGCGCCCATTGGCGGCGCCCCGGCCCGCTTCCTGCCCCCGCCCTCCGGCGCGGGCCGCACTTCCTCGGCGAGGCCGGGCAGCCCCAGGCTCCGGCAGGAAGTGTCCGCCCGCGCTCCCAGGCCCGCCCTCGTCGCCTCCCCGCGCTGGCCGCTAGGGGCTTCCGAGTCTTGGCGGCCGCCAGCGCGCCTCCGGGCCTGGCCGCGCCCCCCGCCGCCTCTCCGGCTCGTCCCCACCCCTTGGGCACACGCTTGGCTTCTCCCCAATCCCAGAGGCTACAAATGGGGGGCTCTGTTAATTCTCCCCCTCTCCTGTGTGTGGCTGCGGGGGCCTTCGGTACCCCCTCCCCCCTCACAGAGGAGCATGGCCCCTTCCCAAACGTTCGACCCCAGCCCCTCCCATTCCCCAAGCCCGCCTTCCGGTGACCTTGAGCCTGGGAGAGGCGTCTGCACCGCGTGTGACACTGCCCCGCCCCCACCCGCCTCGCCCTGGTAGGAAAGAGCCTGGAGGCACCCACCTTGGGAGAGAAGCCTGCAGTTCGCGCTGGTCCTCTGAGCCTTGGGCGAGGTCTCCCCATCCTCTCTGGCCCCTGGCCTCCTCGCGGAGCAGGAGTGGGGCTAGGGGAGGAGGGTTCCCGCTCTCCATGCAAACACTGCTGGCCCCGGATTTGCATCTCAGAAACCAAGTCTGAATGAGACCACAGTCAGGCTTCCCCAGGGCCGCCACCTACACCTTCTCACCCACACAGCTCACTCAACCACACGAATACGGGAACTTCCTATGTGCCAGGCACCGCGCCAGAGCCAGCCAGGCCTCTGCTCCCTAGGAGCTCACACCCTCATGTGAATGGAGGTGCTATGCAGGGGCCCCAGGGGTCATGTGTCCCTGTCTGGCTCCTGTAGGAGTGAGGTGCACGGGGGGGGGGGGGGGGGGGGGCGACTGCATGAGCAAAGCCTCAGGCATCAGTGGTGGAGGGCATGGGGCGTGTGCGCGCACACACACACGCACACGCACACACACACGCGCACACGTGCAGGAAGGTGCAGATAATGCAGGTATTGCCAGGGAGTGTCCTTTTACTTGCAGGTAGCATGCAGGGACCTTAAGGAGAGGCGTGCACTCCCACTCTAGGGACAGGGGACAAGAAACCCCAAGAGGAGACCACGGCCACCTTCCCAGAGATGGGCAGATGCAGAGAGAGGGAGAGGAGGATGGCTGTGGGACAGGCGATAAACCGGGCCGGAAGCCGGGCTGGCTGGCTCAGGGACAGGGGAAGCAGAGGCCACGGGACTTCTGGCTTGGGAGATGTCAGCTGTGAAAATGTGGAACTGAGCCTGATACCGGGCGGACCGTCCCTGTTTGCTTTCACACACACACACACACACACACACACTACACCCAGAGGATGCAGGACACGGGCCTGCTACAGCTCCTGCTAGCAGGAGAATCTTGTTGGAGAGTGACTTGGTACTTTGACCATGCTGACACCCTTCAGTCAAGCAGTGCCACCCCTGCTAACTTACCCTGTGGATAAAATGTATGCAAAGGGAGCCTGATAGGTATAAGATCATTCACTGCATCACTATTAGTAACAGCAAAACACTGGAAACAATGTGTCAGCAATAAGGGACTGGTTACATAAATCTTGTTCTAATGGGGGGGGGGGGCTGTGCTGAGCAGCGGTTTGAATCCCGGCTGCTCCTCTTCCAATCCAGCTCTCTGCTATGGTCTGGGAAAGCAGTGGAAGATGGCCCAGGTCCTTGGGCCCCTGAACCCACTTGGGAGAGCTGGAAGAAGCTCCTGGCTCCTGGCTTAGGATCGGCCCAGCTCTGGCCGTTGCAGCCATTTGGGTAGTGAACCAGCTGATGGAAGACCTCACTTTTCTCTCTCTCTCTCTCTCTCTCTCTCTCTCTCTCTCTCTCTCTAACTCAGTCATTCAAATAAGTAAATAAATCTTTTTAAAAAATAAATCTTGTTGCATCTATAGCAGAGGATAGCTGAGGTCTTGAGAAACAGTGAGGGAGAGCTATATAGACTGAGAGCTGCAAGACACACTGGTAAGTTCATTGCTGTGACGTGGAAGACTCCCACTAAGGAGAAATATCACCACGTTTCTATACTTTTGCATACTCTGGAAAGTAGTTATGGCTGACCGTGGGGAGGGAGGTAGTAAGTGATGGCTCAGGGGCTGGGTCCCTGCCACCCATGTGGAAGACTCAGGTTGAATTCCTGGCTCTGGGCCTCAGCCTGGCCTGGCATTTGGGAGATCTGTTTCTCTCTCTGCCTTCCAGAGAAAGAAGTAAAGAAAAATAGGAGGGAAATATGTTACTGCACATCTGCTTATATTTTGACTGATTTTACCAGATACATTTATAAGTGCTTTAGAGTGTTATGTATGTATTTGATGGGCAGAGACGGAGTGAGCTGCCATCTACTGGTTCACTCTCCAGGTGCCCTCAATGGCTGGGACTGGGCTGGGCCAAAGTTAAGAGCCAGGTCTGCAATCCAGGTCTTCCATGTGGGAAACCTTTCTTCTCTCAACGACAACAAAAAGTTCACTTTTGTTAAAAACAGAATATTCAGGGGAAAGTTGCTTCTGTACTTAACAATTGGAAGTCAGAGTTACACAGAGAGAGAAGGAGAGGCAACTGTGCCGATCCAAAGCCAGGAGCCAGGAGCTTCTTCCAGGTCTCCCACTTGGGTGCAGGGGCCCAAGGACCTGGGCCATCTTCTACTGCTTTCCCAGGCCATAGCAGAGAGCTGGATCAGAAGAGGAGCAGCCAGGACTTGAACCAGCGCCCATATGGGATGCCAGCACTGCAGCCGGCAGCTTTACCTGCTGCGCCACATCACCGGCCCCCTCCTCATTATTAAACAATATAATGTAGCAACTGTTTACATAGTGTGAACATTCTGTTAGAGTTCATAGGTAACCTAGAGGTGATTTACTGATTTTGTGGTTATTCTTTCAAGAGGCAGAGACACACAGAGGAAGACTAGAAATGATGTGAAGCGTGTGGGAGGATGTGCACAGGTTCCATGCAAATTCTGTGTCATTTTCTACCAGGGACGTGAGCATCAGTGGACTTGGGTACCCAGGGGCACTCTGGAAGCAACTCTGTGGATTCTGAGAGTGCACCTGCTGATGTGGTGAAATCGCACCACCCCTGAGCGTGCTGCTCCGAGTGGAGGTCCCAGGACCTGCACGTGAGCATCCTGGGGAGGTGAGTTAGCAATGGAGGGAGGGAGGGAGGGAAATACAGTTATCATCTGCACCTATGAGATACATGAAATCTGTTCTCTTTATGTTAATAAAGAAAAACAAAGGAAGAAAGAAGAAATGCAGGGTCTCAGAGCCTGCCCCAGCCCTGATCCTGCAAATCAGGATCTGCACCTCACAGACTCGCAGGGAGGCCTTAGCGTATTTCAGTTTGAGAAGCTAATCCCCTGCCTGCAGCGCCAGCACCCCGGGTTCCAGTCCCGGTTAGGGCGCCGAATTCTGTCAGGGTTGCTCCTCTTCCAGTACAGCTCTCTGTTGTGGCCCGGGAGTGGATGGCCCAAGTCCTTGGGCCCTGCACCCGCGTGGGAGACCAGGAGAAGCACCTGCCTCCTGGCTTCGGATCAGCGCGGTGCACTGGCCCCAAAGCACTGGCCGCAGCGGCCATTGGGTGGTGAACCAATGAAAAAGGAAGACCTCTCTCTCTCTCTCTCTCTCTCTCTCACTCTCACTGTCCACTCTGCCTGTCAAAAAAAAATTAATTAAAAAAAAAGAGAGAGAGAGAGAGAGAAGCCCCAGCCTATAAAGTATTCTCGAAAACAAGTGTTTAGGAGCCGGCGTTGTGGCAGAGTGGGTGAAGCCACTGCCTATGATGCCAGCATTCCATGTGTGCGCAAGTGCACGTCCCGGCTGCTCCACTTCAGATCAGTGTCCTCTAATGGCCTGGGAAAAGCAGCTGAGGAAGTCCCAAGTGCTTGGGCCCCTGCTACCCACTTGGGAGACCTGGAAGAAACTCCTGGCTTCAGCCTGGCTCAGCACTGGCCGTTGTGGCCATCTGGGGAGTGAACCAATGGATGGAAGATCTTCCCCCCCTTTCTCTCTCTCTCTCTGTTTCCCTTTCTCTGTCCTTCAAATAAATAAATCTCTAATATATGTGTATGTGTGTGTGTGTGCACATTTGGCACAAGTTAATTCTTGAGTCTGTGAGTGTTTATTATTGTACTATTATTTCTTTTTTTTTTTTTTAAAAAGACTTATTTATTTTTATTTGAAAGTCAGAGTTACACCCAGAGAGAAGGAGAGGCAGAGACAGAGAGAGGTCTTCCATCTGCTGGTTCACTCCCCAACTGGCCAGAGCTGCACCGATCCGAAGTCAGGAGCCAGTAGATTCTTCCGGGTCTCCCATGTGGGTGCAGGGGCCCAAGGACTTGGGCCATCTTCCACTGCTTTCCCAGGCCATAGCAGAGAGTGGATCGGAAGTGGAGCAGCCAGGACTAAAACCAGCACCCATAAGGGATGCTGGCGCTGCAGGCGGTGGCTTTACCCGCTACACCACAGTACTGGCCCCAGTCATACTATTATTTCTATTTTTCCAAGTTTGATGTTTAATGTAACAAATAAATCAGAAACAATTTTAAAAGCATTGTGTTCTCAAAAAAAAATTCCTTAGGCTGATTTATAAGATACATGGGAAACCAGAGAAAACCGCAACATAAATGACAAGTTGTCCATCTTAATACATTAAGTATATGAACAATTCTATAAGCAAATTGATTTTATAATTAATATTTTAATTTAATAAATTTAAATTCATATAAATTTAATAATTTATATAAACAAATTAATTTTAAAACTTACAGAAAGAGACACAGCCCATAAACATATAACTATTTTAAAGACTTATTTTTTTATTGATATGAAAGGCAGAGTTCCAGACCGGGGGTGGGGAGAGCGAGAGAGGGAGAGAGAGAGAGAGAGAGAAGAGAGAGAAGAGAGAGAAGAGAGAGAAGAGAGAGAGAGAGATCGTCTATTTGTTGGTCCACTTCTAGATGACTGCAACGGCCAGGACTGACCAGGCCAAAGCCGGGAGCCTGGAACTCCACCCAGGTTTCCCCAAGTACTTGAGCCACCTTCTGCTGCCTCCCAGGCACATTAGCAGGTTGCTGGATCAGAAGCTGAGGAACTGGGACTCGAACTGACGATGTTATGGGATGATGGCATTGCCGGTGGTGGCCTAACCTGCTTTGCCACAATGCCAGCCCCAAAAATTTGTCTTAAAATGGTCTATGTCACTGTTAATCAAAGAAACATAAATCTTCTCAATAACCATTTTCCTTTTTGGTAATCAAACTGGCAGAGATTTTCTTACAGGCTGGCACTGGTGTTGAGAAGTGTGGAATAACAAGTACTCATGTACTACAGGTGGGGTGTGGGACTATAATGAAATGCCAGGGGCAGGCTAGCTTTATAAGGAAAAGAGGTTTCTTTGGGCTCATGGTTTGGGAATCCAGGATCGGGCAGGCCCCCTTGGTTCAGCCTCTGAGGACGGTGTCCTTGCTGGCAGGGTCCTGGGGTAGCAAGAGCCCAGGCGTGTGTCTGGATCTGTGTGGTCATTCCTTTCCTTATGAAGGCACAAGGATTCCGTCATGGGAGGACTCTAACAGCTTAATCCAGTCTAACCCCTTCCCAAAGGCTCTATCGCTACTCCCCATCATTGGGTTAAGTGCCTGTGCTGGTAGCGCCATTAATGTCAGACTTTGGGGACTGAACTCCTGACTCTAGGAGGACAAACATTCAAATCATAGCATAGGATTATCTACTCGTGGAGCTATTCTGCAAGATAATTTTCCTATTCACGTCCTCGGCTTAGAAAGCTCACTTTTGAAGTTCATCCTAAAGAAATAATAGCGGGGGGCCCAGTGTTGTGGCACAGTGGGTTGAGCCTCCACCTGTGATGTTGACATTCCAGGTGAGTGCTGGTTCAAGACTTGGCTGTTCCACTTCTGATCCAGCTCCCTGCTTGTGCACCTGGGAAGCAGCGGAAGATGGCCAGTGCTTGGGCCCCTGCACCCATGTTGAAGACCCAGATGGAGTTCCAGGCTCCTGGCTTCAGCCTGGCCCAGATCCGACCATTGTGGCCACCTGGGGAGGGATCCAGCGGATGGAAGATCTCTCTCTCTCTCTCCATAACTTTGTCTTTCAAATAAATGCTCTTTAAAAAAAAAAAAAAAAAGAAAAAATAATGGATGTAGTCTAATGGCAAACATTATTTATTTAAAACCCACTACTTTAATATTTGTTATTGTTTTTAAATATTTATTTATTCATTATCTATTTGAGATAAGATTGGGCGTGTTCAGGGTGCTGTGGCCAGAGACTATTTATTATCTATTTGAAAAGCAAAGAGACAGAGACAGAGATCTTCTATCCACTGGTTAAGTCCTCAAATGCCTGTAACAGCCAGAGCTGGGCCAGGCTGAAGCCAGGAGCCCAAAATTCAACCCAAGTCTCCCACGAGAGTAGCAGCAAGTACTGTCATCGTCTACTGTTTCCTACAGTGCACGTTGGCAGGAAGCTGGAGTTGGATGTGGAGTCTGGGCTTGAACCCAGGCCCTCCAATGTGGGATGCAGGCATCCAAGTGACTTTGTTCTTTAAATATTCATTTATCTCAAAAAAAAATCATTTATTTATTGAAAGGCAGAGAGAAAGGTTGAGGGAGAATTATGTTCCATCTGTTGGCTCACTCCCAAATTCCTCCAAAACTGAGGCTGGCCCAGACTGAAGCTGGGAACCTGAACTCCATCCAGACACTTGAGCCATCCATCACCTGCTGCCTCCCAGGGTGCGCATCAGCAGGAAGCTGGATCGGAATTGGAGGTCAGGACTCAGCGCTCCTATAGGGATGCAAGCGTCTCGAGCGTGGCTTAACCAACTGTGCCACAGCACCCGAGCCTATAGGTTTGTTTTCTTATGCCCCCCTCCCTGCCACACACAGCTTACACACTGGACAGTGCTTGAACAAATATTCCCAGATAAATCACTAGCGATCCTTTACGTATAGATCATCACTAGTGGGATTACAGGGTTCTGTGTTTTTTTCTTTTCTTTCCATTTTGCTTGTCTGTGTAATTGAGTGGACTCGGACTCCTTAATGTTCACAAGAAACAGTGCTGTGTTATCCCCAAAGCAAAATAGCACCTTCGGGTGTGTGCTCCTCTTACCCGAGCACACACCAGCACGTGCACACACCACTCACATGCCCGGACCCAGGAGAGTGTGGTCTGGAGGCCATCCGCCCTCCCCCAGCCCACTCCTGCCCACCGTGCTCCTGAGGCCCAGGGCTCAGAGGCTGGGGGATCGCTGTGGCTGCCCAAGGAGCTGAGTGTGGGCTCCAAGGCGGTGGCAGAGTGCACCTGTGTGCCTTTCCCGTCCTGACTGCGAGAGCCCCCAGAGCCGGGGGCTGGGACTGGAAGCCTTGGCTTCTGGTGGCGGATGGCAGAGCAGAGTCCAAAGGCACTGGTTTATGGCAACTCATAAAAACACCAGGAGGTGGGGACAGGAAGAGCACTTACGGTTTGCAGGGGCCTGCCTGAGCGAGGGGTGCCAGGACCCCATCTGTCCCGCAGGTGCCCCGGCTTGGGTTTGCAGAGCCCTGCCCCTCCTCCTCTCTGAGCCATTCCCTCCCCACCCCGCCCAGGTCAGGTGGGAGGACAGCTGAGCCTTCCCCTTGGCTGGTCTGAAGCAAGTGTCCAGGTGGGCCCTGGGCAGAAAAACACCTCATCCCTTGGCACTCACATGGGAGCCCAGGGCGGGGCCCACCTGCTCTGGCTGATGGGCTGGGCTGCGGCTCCCAGGGCTCCCAGGGACCTGGCGGGCACCTGCCTCCCCACCCCCTCACCCATGCTCTCTCTGGGGCCCTATCTTCCCTTATATGGTGAGGGCACTCCTAGAGGAGGGGGTAGGGACAAAGTTCGCTCTCTCGCAGCCTGCTTGCCACAACTCCGCAGATCTCCCAGGTGGCGGCTGCCTCCTCCAGACAGGTAAGGCACCTGGTGGGGACGGTGGGTGGCGCGAGGGGGCAGGGTCCCTGCTTCTTGCTGGCAGCCTCCTGGAGCCCCTTGGCACAGGCCCGAGGGTGCGGCTGGCCCTCAGATTCTGGGAGGAGCGAGGAGCCCCGTATGTCTGTTCATGGGGCGAATGCTGCAGGTGCTCCGGCTGCTCCCTGCCACTGCCCGCTCTGGGTGTCAACCGCCCCAGAGGGGAGTCCTGGGGCATGGGAGAGCTCCATTGAAAACCAGGACAGTTCTGGGCAGAGCAGGACAAGTGGTTAGCGCTGGCCTCACTCCCCACCACCTTCAGTTCCTCTCTGCCACTTCTCCCTCATCTGAAATAGTCCCATCTCCCCAGCCTAGGGGGTGAGCTACAGCCATCAGGGATTGAACGGACGAAGGCAGAGGTAGAGGCAGGGGCTGGTTGGTGGGGAGGTCTCCAGCATAGCCTGGGCCCCACCCACCTCCCCTCCACCAGGATCTGCCCCCTCGGCCTCCCTGGCTGCCAGGATCCCATTCTGCTGAATGGAGTCTGGAACACGCTGGCCACTGTCGTGGGTCTCTCGGGCCCCTTCTGGCCTGTTGAGGGGCACAGTCTGGGGCTGGGCTGGCTGGGGGTGCCCATTCCCTGTGCCATCAGGGGCCTGTGGAAACAGGAAGGTGTCCTTGTCCTCACTACGTCCTCATCGAGCTGGACACGAACAGCCATGGCGGCACCCCAGGGCTCTTCAAACTGCACCCAGGAAAGCAGGTCTAGAAGGAAGATAAGGCAGGCAGTGGGTAGATAAGGAAGGCACCTGGAGAGGACAGGGGCCCTGCCTCCCTCCAGGGCCAGGACAGTCCTCCTGCTCCCCAGTCTTTGGGCTTCCGGGAGCTGGGAACAGTCATAGGCCCTTCCGTCACGGTGCAGTCCTGGGGCCCCTGGTCCAGCCTGGGGATTCTGGCTAAGCCTCCTGGAAGAAGACTTAAACTGAGTCTAGAAACGTGTGTAGGTGTCAGGCAAGTGGAGATGGGGTGCGCAGAGGTAGGGGAGGCGGAAGAGCAGCAGGGGCAAGCAGCGGCCACAGCCAGCCCCAGCCAGTCCCAGCCAGCAGAGGCGGGCAGGCAGGGTGTGCTGGGGGTGACTGTGCCTTTCCCTGGGCTGGGGACATGGAAGGGAGGGAGATGGCGGGCCGGCAAGCCAGTGCAGTGCGTTCCGGCTGAGGGAGAAGAGGAGGCTGCAGAGGCCTCTCAGCAGGGTGGGACAGCGGCTTCTGCTCTGACCAGCAGGGATGAGGGCAGGAGCAGCCGGGGTGGGGGGGGGGGTCAACAAGGGGTGGGGCTCGTCATCGCTCAGAGCCACCCTCACTGCTCCGGGCTGCCTCAGAGCCCAGTCCTGGGGACAGTGAAACCTGCATCCCCTCTCTGCCGTCTCCTGTCCACCCTCAGCCTCTATCTGAGCGGGGGCCCTGGGTGGGACCCCAGGGACCTGCCCCCTCTGGCTCTGAGATGATCAGCTAGTGGAGGGCGGCGAGCCTTGGCAAAGGTGCTGACCCTTCTCCTTTGGGTGTGAATTGGTTCTGTGGAACCAGGAGTGCCTGGGAGCCTCAGGGACTTGGTCCCAACCAAGGGAGTCATCAGACGGACCCCCGAGTGCCTAGAAGCCCAGCAAGCTGCCAGGGACGGGATCCGCAGGAGCGGCTCCAAGGAGACACTGGGCGGAGGGCCTTGCCCCCAAACTGCTGAGTGCCAGGGAGAGCAGCCACCCTGATGGCTCAGAGAGAGATTTTCTGATAGTGAAAGGCTGGGTCGCTGTTCTGAGAGGTGACTCAGAGCCAAGGTGCACTGAGAGATTAGATAGATTGGAGACTGTCTCAGCGTTAGAGGCCTGAGCCTGGGGGCCACCTGACCTTTCATTCATTGTTCATGGGTTCAAGGAGCGATCATTCCTGGAAGGTGACTGCGCCAGGCTGGGCAGCAGGTGCGGGAGAATGGGGTGGGGAGGGGCCCCGAAACAGAGCTGCACATACTGGGGACAAGTGCCTCTCTGCCCTGGCTCATGTCACAACCCTAGGGGCCTTTTCAAAGCACCCATCCCCCTCTCCTACAGACAGAAAATGAAGCACCCGGGCCCCACCCTAGCCTAATTAAATCAGGAGCTGAGCGCGGGTGCACCAGGAGTTGGCGAGAGCTCCCAGGTGGTGCTGAGGCGCAGCTGGCGTGAAGCTCCCAGCTGCAGGCAGCGCCGCGGCCCCGAGGGCTGGCGGTGGGAGAAGCAGGCGGGGGTGGGTTTCCTCCAGCTCAGTGGGTGGAGGGGGTGGCTCCCAGCCAGAGGAGCGCTCATTCACTCATTCACTTCCTCCCTCCCTTCCCCCCGCCATTCGTTCACCCAGCAGAAGATGCGCTGAGCAACCAGAAATGGCCCGAGTCTGTGGGCCCCCAGAATGCACACGTAGGGTGCTGAGAGGGAGCTAGGGTAACCCACGTGAGAGTTACCATTTTCTCCCACTTCACTGTGCACGACTGAGCGGTGTCCAGCACTCCCCATGCTGCGCACCCCACCTGCCAGCAGCTTCAGCTCTGGGCATCACCCCGGCTAGAAACTGTGCCCGTGGCAGCCGCCCCCGCCTTGCCTCTTCCTGCCCTGATCCATTTTCTAGCTCTACAGCTCTGCCTGGTCTATGTATTTCTTTCCAAGGGGATTGGACAACATAAGCAGATAATGTGTAGCTTCTAGGCAGGCAGAGACCCCACCTGCTTTTTTTTACATCAGTCACATTTTCTTTTTTTAAAGATTTTTATTTATTTATTTGAAAGAGTTACACAGAGAGAGAAGGAGACACACACGCACAGAGAGAGAGAGAGAGGTCTTCCATCCTTGGTTCACTCCCTAGTTGGCCGCAACAGACAGAGCTGTGCTGATCTGAAGCCACGAGCCAGGAGCTTCCTCTGGGTCTCCCATGCAGGTGCAGGGGCCCAAGGACTTGGGCCATCTTCTTCTTTTTCTTCTTCTTTTTTTAAGTATTTATTTATTTGAAAATCAGAATTACACAGAGAGAGGAGAGGCAGAAAGAGAGAGAGGTCTTCTATCCTCTGGTTCACTCCACAATTGGCCGCAACGGCCGGAGCTGCGCCGATCTGAAGTCAGGAGCCAGGAACTTCTTCCTGGTCTCCCATGTGGGTGCAGGGGCCCAAACACTTGGGCCATCTTCTACTGCTTTCCCAGGCCATAGCAGAGAGCTGGATTGGAAGTGGAGCAGTTGGGACTCGAACCGGCACCCATGTGGGATGCTGGCACTGGAGGCATCAGCTTTACCTGCTTCGCCACAGCACCGCCCCCCCGCCCTTGCTGTTTCACTCCCCAAATGCCAGCAATGGCCAGGGCTGGGCCAGGCTGGAGCCGCAAGATGGGAACTCAGTCCAGGTCTCCCACGCGGGGGGCAGCGACCCGAGCACTTGAGGCACCACCAGCTGCCTCTCGGGGAGCTGCATCAGGAGGCAGAGCTGGTGTTGAACCCAGGTGCTCTGGGACGGGACGTGAGCATCTCAGCTCCTGAGCTGCTGCTGCTGCTTCGCATCGAACCCTCAGGGTGCACCTGTGCCGGGGCTTCAGTCCTCTTGACGGCTCCTTGACGTCCCGAGAGGCGGTGTCGCTTTTGTCCACTCCTCCATCTATCATCTCCCCTTGGGGCTCCTGTGATAGAGTTGCAATAAACTCCCGGCACCAGCTTTTCTTGGAACATCTGTTTTCAGTTCTTTTGGGTGGACTTAAAGCTTGATCTGTTCTTTTCTATTAAAAACTGACTCTATGGTTTCCCTTTCACCAAGCACAGCTCTGGGGAAACATTTTCAGAAAGAGAGCTTGGGGCTGAAGAAGAACTTTGAGTGCCAGGCTAAGAAGTGGGGGCTTCATTCAGCGGGTGACGGGGTGGGGGTGGGGGATGTTTGAGCAAGGGCGGGTCCAGACCAGAGCCAGGTGGGATGGTTGGAGGCTGAGCCCTTGAAGGTCAGGGCCCAGAGTGGGAGGCCAGCCCCCGGCCCGCCTTCCCTAGCCCCTGAGCCAGGGCACTCCGAGGGGCCCTCACTCCCACACGCCTTCTCCCCCAGGCTCACCCCCAACCATGACCGAGCTGAGTGCCCAAGTCAAAGGCTCTCTCAACATCACCACCCCTGGCGTCCAGATATGGCGGATCGAGGTGAGCCCTGCACCTGCAGGAGGAAGGCGGAGGAGGCCTGGGCTTGCCCCGGGGGCAGGGGGCGGGGTGGGCAGCTGCCCCTCGCTTCCCACATCATCCACACCCCCACACCCTGCCCTCCCTCCTCCTCCTTCCCCCTCCCTCTTTGCCTCGTTGCTCTCCCTCTCCCCCAGTTCTCCAGTGTCTGTCTCTCGTGCTGCTCCTCTTCTCCCCCCACCACCCCATGCCGGCTTCCCCTGCTTTCCCCCTCCTGGATCTAGGACAGCAGGATGGCGGGCAGCAGGGTGGGGAGGTTCTGGGTGGTCCCTGGCAACTCCTGTGCCCCTTTTTCTCCTTAGGCCATGCAGATGGTACCTGTTCCCTCCAACACCTACGGGAGCTTCTTCGAGGGAGACTGCTACGTCATCCTGGCTGTGAGTTGGGCCCACAAGGGTGCAGACCACAGATGTGGGGCTGGGGGTGGCCAGGAAGCTGGGGTGTGCCCAGGTGCCCACCCTGAGGTAGCTCTGCACGGGGCAGGCGTGGAACCTCAGAGGCTCTGCCTGCCCGAGCTGCTCCTGGTGGAGGTGACCTTCTGAGCTGTTGCGATGTCACTCTCACTAGAATCCGGATTTCTGAAATTTCTAGTCACCTTCCTGATTTTCAACACACCTTGGTTTCCACCTGTACTTTTTTTTCTTTTTTCTTTGGAAAGGCAGGGGGTGGGGAGAGACAGAGAGAGATCTTCCATCTACTGGTTCACTCCCAAAATGGCCACAATGGCCAGGGCATGGGCCAGGCCAAAACCAGGAGCCTTAAACTCCACCAGGGCCTTCCACATGGGTGGCAGGCGCCCAAGCACTTGTGCCATCCTCTGTTGCTTTCCCAGGTGCATTAGCAGGGAGCTGGCTTAGAAGTGGGGCAGCAGGTGCTCCGATGTGGCGAGGCTATATTTATAGGTGGCGGCTTAGCCTGCTGTGCCACAATGCCAGTCACTCATTTTTAAATCTTGAATATATTCATTTAACAATATAACTCTACATCATTGCTGTTAATGGACAGCAGTGTTGTGAGTCATAAAAAGAAAGTGGCTAGAAACATTCAGAGTCATTTCACGTACAACGTGCCCTCTGCACCTGCAGATTCAACCAACCACAGATGGAAAACATTCAATAACCACAAAAAACCTGTGACATGCGTTAAACATGTCCAGACTTTTTTCTTTTTAATGAATTACTTATTTTCAATTTATTTGAAAGGCAGAGAGAGAGAGAGAGAGAGAGAGAGAGAGAGAGGACATCTTCTATTTGCTGGTTCACTTTCCAAATGCCTGCAGCAGCCTCAGCTGAGCCAGCCACGGCCAGGTTACCTGGAACTCCATCCAGGTCTCCCACGTGGGTAGCAGGAACCCAAGGACTAGAGCCATCACCTGCTGCCGCCCAGGGCGTGCCTTAGCCGGAAGCTGGAACCGGAAGCAGAGCCGGGACTCGAACTCAGACGCTTTGATGTGGGATGCAGCCATCCCAAGCAGCGTCTGAACTGCTGAACCAAATGCCCGCCTCCAGACCGTTTTCTCTTGTCATCGCAGCAATGCAATCTAACAGCGCCTCACGTGTTTCAGTGTGTTAGCTGTTGTACGTGACGTAGGAACGAGTTAAGGTGGACAGGAGGATGTGCTGGGTTGCGTGCACACGATGCTCCCTCTTACACAGGGCACTGGAGCATCGTCCGATTGGGCATCCCCCAGGGATCCTAAAGGAGGACTCTAGTGCCCCTGTTTGTGCGTCCCGTAGTCGCCTTGCAGGCCTCTGCTAGTCCACACGCAGAGAAACGCTTTGGGACACGCTGGTGTGGTCCAGGCAAGTTCTTCCCGAGACGAGGCAGGGAAGCGTCAGAGAGGCATGTCCCAGGGGGTCCAGGTCCCAGCGCGAGGAGGGGGCTGTGGGGGGAGGGGCACCTCGGTACCCCGGACGTCCCCTCTCCCTAGACCCACAAGACGAGCAACAACCTGTCCTACGACGTCCACTTCTGGATCGGCCAGGCCTCGTCCCAGGACGAGCAGGGGGCGGCCGCCATCTACACCACCCAGATAGATGACTTCCTGAAAGGCAAGGCCGTCCAGCACCGTGAGGTCCAGGGCAACGAGAGCGAGACCTTCCGAGGCTACTTCAAGCAGGGCCTGGTGTAAGGAGGGCGGAGCCGCGGCGGGGGCTTGGGGGTCAGAGGCGGGGATGCATGGTGCAGGCAAGCTGCAGGGGTGGGGGGCCCCACACCTGGGGCTTGGCGGAAAACCTCGGGCAGCAGAGGTGATGTTCCGGCCTCCCGGCTTTCCCCATGGAAACCCCTGCTCTGGAGCTGAGCTGTTCCTGACCTGGGGCGGGGGGGGGGGGCTTCCAGTTAGCCACAGTCCTCACCCCTCCCCTTTTTCCACACCTCAGCAGCCCTCTACTCCTTTGGGTATTTGAATGGCTCCCCCAGCTTGGCTTCTACTGCAAACCACCTCCCACCCAAGTCTGGGTGAGCTAGGGGGTCCAGGATGCAGAGTTTAAGGAGGCTCTCACTGCCAGACAGGCTGCCCTGTCCTTGCCGTAGCCTGACAGCGAGCACCACCTTAAAGCTCAACCCCAGGAGCCTCCTTCAGCTCACCTGGTCCTAAGCTGCCCGCACATGACCTCAGATGACCGGGGAGGTCCGGGGCCTGGCACACCTGCCCACTCTCCTCTCTTCTCAGCATCCAGAAGGGGGGCGTGGCTTCTGGCCTGAAGCAGGTGGAGACCAACTCCTATGAAGTCCGCCGGCTGCTGCACGTCAAGGGGAAGAGGAACGTGGTGGCTGGAGAGGTGGGCGGGTCCTGCCCGGGGGCGCTGGGCAGCGGTCAGGGAGTGGTGGGGAATGGGGCAAGGTGGCCAAGAGCCTCCGAATGAGCAGCATCTGGGCCCCCTTCTTGACCCCCCCAGGTGGAGATGTCCTGGACAAGTTTCAACCGAGGGGATGTTTTCCTCCTGGACCTTGGGAAGCTAATCATCCAGTGGAACGGGCCGGAGAGTAACCGCATGGAGAGACTTCGGGTACACCTGCTCAGGCTCCTCTCGCTCCCCTGCCAGCCCAGCCTGGCACCACCTGGCCAGAGTCCTGCCACAGCCTGGCTGGAGCGCATGCCCCACCCAGGCCACTCTACCCCCTGGCTGTTGGGGCGCTGTGTTGGAAGGAATTTCTGCAGGTGTGGGAAAGGCACGCATCTGGGTGGGCACTTGTGGCTCATCCAGGAAGACGGAGTGAGCTCTGCCGGTGTAGGGGTGGGGCGAACCTGTGCCCAAACTGGGGGACGCAGGGGCGGAGTGAAGTGGGCAGAGCCTCGCTCCCCTCTGGCCATGCAGTAGGGGAGAGAGACAGGAAGGGACTCACTGGGGAGCTGGCCCTCGGGCAGCAAAGGCGGTGGCTGGTTGGGTTCTAGCAGGGGCACAGGGTGCAGGGTGCAGGCAGGCGGGTCTCAGAGGGGCTGTGTAAGGAGTCTGCATTTTACCCTCAGTGCCCTGGGGACTGTTGAAGCACATTCCGAGGTCTGCATGGAGGTGGGCCTGGGGTGTCGTGAGCGTAGTAACGGCACCGAGGCTGGGTTGGTTCCAATAAGGATTTTATTATGCAGTGTGGAAGTCACACATTCTAATTCACACAACATACTGGGCAAACCGAGCACCCAAGGTTCCCAGAGTACCCCGGGTGCTCCTCATGATGCGTCTTGGCCGTGGAGGGCGGATGCTCTCTTCATCCTCAGGGCTGGTGCCTCTGAGCTGAGGGGCGCAGGTCTCGGCTTCGGGCAGGTGCAGGGCTGGCTGGGAGAACTCTTGCGGGAAGGTCTGAGTGCGATGGGTCAGCCCAGGGCTATCGCCCTGCTGCCCTCGGGAGAGTCTGTTCAGAGTCTCTCTGGGCCTCTTCAGTCTGCAGTTTATATAAACTTCTGGCGGTCAGTGTAGGGCCGATAAGGCCCCAAGGAGCGTGTGTGCGGGCCGTGGGTGGTTCTTATCAAGTCCATGCAGATCTCCTGCTGTCAGCTTAGCTCTTGCTTATTACTTGTTAATATTATGGTGAAGCTGTTTAATTCTGCTCCTTATGCGGGGAGGAAGCAGGGCATCTCCATGGCCATCGGGGCAGCAGAGGAGGGAGGTGCCCAGGTGCGGATTTGGAAGGTGGCAACCACCGGCCATCCTTGTGTGTTAGAGGAGAGGTGACAGGAGACAGGCGTGAGCGGCACCCAGAGCTGTTCTCTGGGCTTGAGAACTGTGGGGCTCGTGGGGTCCTGTTTGCTGAGATGGAAAATGCCACAGATCTGGGAAGAAAATGGGAGTTAAGATGAGAGCCCGCAGCTGGGCTGGAGACAGAGACAAGGGTGTCAGCCATGTGCAAAGGCCCTGGGAGGGAGGGCAGCAGGCGACGAGGATTAAAAGGCAGTCGTGTGTGTGCACGTGTGACTGTGCGGGCTGAAGCGGGGGAGGTGGGGTGCGCGTTTGTGCACGGGTGTGCAGGCTGTGAGTGTGCTTTGGGGCAGACTGGGTGTGCTTTTACCTGGCTCCCCGTGCAACCTGGTCCCTCACGCAAACCTGGCAGCCGCTGTGGGGGTGGGCTGGGGCTGGCCCCACTGCACTTGGGTGGCGGGTACTGCCTCGTCCCCTGCCAGCTCTCCTGGGTCACCGGGGCCTTCCTACCCTAGGGCATGACTCTGGCCAAGGAGATCCGGGACCAGGAGCGGGGCGGGCGCACCTACGTGGGTGTGGTGGATGGGGAAAACGAGTCGGAGTCCCCGAAGCTGATGGAGATCATGAACCACGTGCTGGGCCAGCGTCGTGAGCTGAAGGCGGCTGTGCCGGACTCGGTGGTGGAGCCGGCACTCAAGGCCGCCCTCAAGTTATACCAGTGAGCATCGGCTGGGGTCTTCTTCGGGGCTGGGGGCTGGCGCCCTGGCTGAGGGGCCCCTCCGCATCTATGCCTTGCCTTTGTTCTGCAGCATGTCTGACTCGGGAGGGAAGATGGTGGTGAGGGAGATCGCCACGCGGCCACTCACGCAGGACCTGCTCAGTCATGAGGTGAGGGGGTGCGGGGTCCAGGAGCCGAGCCCTGAAGCCACCAGACCCACCTCTCTCCCAGGCAGGAGAAATCCCAGGGCCCTGGGGTGGGGTGGGAGAGAAAGGACTTGCTAAAGGTTTCTTTATTTACTTTTTTTTTTTTTTATAGATTTATTTATTTGACAGGCAGAGTTACAGAGAAACAGAGAGAGGTCTTCCATCCACTGGTTCACTCCCTAAATGGCCACAATGGCTGGAGCTGAGCTGATCTGAAGCCAGGAGCCAGGAGCTTCTTCCTGGTCTTCCACATGGGTGCAGGGGCCCAAGCATTTGGGCCATCTTCTACTGCTTTCCTGGGCCCCTTTGAGGGTGCTGGATTGAGGCAAGAAAAAAATTTAAAAATTTATTTGAATAGCAGAGAGAGAGAGAGAGAAAGGTGAGAGACTGAGAGAGAATCTCCACCTGCTGGTTCATACCTCAAATGCCCACAATAGCCAGAGATGGGCCAGGCTGAAGCCAGGAGCCTGGAACTCAATCCAGGTCTCCCACGTGACCCAAGTACTTGAGCCAGCACCTGCTGCCTCCCAGGGTGCACATTAGCAGGAAGCTGGACCTGGACTCCAACCCAGGCACTCCCGATATGGGTGCAGGGGTCCCAGGTCATCCTCAGGACTTGCACCAGACATCTGCCCCTAGAAAGGTCTTTCTGTGCCTGAAGCTGCCCCAGTACCAAGAGTGCTCACCTGGGTCCTCCCTGCTCACTCCAGGACTGTTACATCCTGGACCAAGGGGGCCTGAAGATCTTCGTGTGGAGGGGGAAGAATGCCAACGCCCAGGAGAGGAAGGAGGCCATGAACCAGGCGCTGGTAGGGAGGGGCTCAGAGCAGCAGGGGGAGGGCAGGTGGGCTCGGCCAGGGACGCTTCTGGAAGGGGCAGGGCGGGGGTCTCTGCACGCCAGGGCCACCATGAGGCCTCCCCAGGACATGGCTGTGGCTGCCCGCAGCAGGGGGAAATGCAAGCTGGCATTCCTGCAGGGGGCAGTGGGTCACTCGGGACGAGGGTCAAGTCAGTGTTTAGGACCTTGTGGGGACCACACTCAGGAACTCTCACTGGCTTGGGGTCACTGACAGGCTGCGGGCGGGGCGTTTGGATGGGCTGGGGTCAGATGAGGGTCTGATTTATTCCAGGGGTTGGGAGAAGAGTTAGGGCTGAGGTTGAAGTGAGGCGTGACACTTGGGTGGTGTCAGGTGCGACCCCGGGTTGGGGTCACAGTACGGTTTGGCTTGAGGTCAGCTGGGGGTTGGATTCGGGTCTGGGACAAGGGACCAGTTTGATGGTGGATCTGGTTGGGACCGGAGGTGTGGTGTGGTGTGGTGTGGTGTGGTGTGGCCTCCAGAGACCCCCCCTTCCCCTCTTCCCCAGAACTTCATCAAAGCCAAGCAGTACCCGCCGAGCACGCAGGTGGAGGTGCAGAATGACGGGGCCGAGTCGGCCGTCTTCCAGCAGCTCTTTCAGAAGTGGACGGTGCCCAACCGGACCTCAGGCCTGGGCAAGACCCACACCGTGGGCTCCGTGGGTGAGGGCCGGGGCCAGCGAGGGGGCCGGGCGGCGGGGAAGGTGCAGGCATTCAAGAGTTGCTGCCAAAAAGGGCCTGGGGATGCCTGGTCTTCGCTCTGGAATGAGATGGGGCCTCCCTGGGGACCAGAAGGCTTCTGTCTCTCCCCAGATTATATTTGCAGAGGGCCCGCTGGGTTCCAGGCGCCGGGGGCGGCAGGGAGGATGACAGGGTGATGGATAGCCCGCGTCATTGCAGCACTCCCTGTCCAGCTGGGAGACAAGGTCAATGCCAGTGGCCCAAGTGCTGCAGGGGTCTGGGTAGGGTCAAGCTAAGTCATGTACCTGTCCCTCTTCTGGCTTCCCTGGGAGACATAGATGAAGCAGGAGTCCTAGGGGCAGGGAGATGTGGTTCTGTAGTTTGGCTCTGCTACTATCTGTGTGGGCTTGGGTAAGCCTCAGTTTTCTCATCTGTCAAATGGGTCTAAGAATTGTAGCCAGCACTCAGGGCTGTTGTGAGAACTAGGAGGACCTCAGCCGGTGACAGCTGGTGTTACGCTCCCCCACCCCCAGCTAAGGTGGAGCAGGTGAAGTTCGACGCCATGTCCATGCACGTCCAGCCTCAGGTGGCTGCCCAGCAGAAGATGGTGGATGACGGGAGTGGGGACGTGCAGGTAACGTGGGCAGGGCGAGGCCCCTGCTGGCTGGAGCGGGGGTGGAGGAAGCCATTCCGGACTTCACACTGGCCTGATCCTGGCCCCAGGTGTGGCGCATTGAGAACGTGGAGCTGGTGCCTGTGGAGTCCAGGTGGCTGGGCCACTTCTTCGGGGGTGACTGCTACCTGCTGCTCTACACCTACCTGATCGGCGAGAAGAAGCACTACCTGCTCTACATCTGGCAGGTCAGGCCCTGCCCCCTCCACGGGGTTGGTTACTCCTGGTGATGGAGGGCTCACCCCCTCCTGGGGTGGCCCTGTCCGCCTGGGGACAGCTTGGGCTGGGAGGCCCCACCGAGCGCCTTTTCTGTTGGTTCTCTGGGTCTCGCTTCCGACTGTGCATTCCCTGCACCCGCTCTGCCTGGGGTCCAGATGTGAGGTGCAGGGAGAGACTTGGGTGCTGGGAGTGGCGTCTCCTGGGGGAGGAGAGTAAGCACGGGGTTGGGCCTCGCCTGGGGCTGGGCTCAGAATGGAGGTGTGGGTCCCGTTGGGCTGGGGGCTGGGTCTGGGGTCAGGTCAGAGCTGGGGATGGACGTGGCGAGGCCGAGGGCTCGTCCCCTCTCACCACTTCGCACCTGCTCATCCCCAGGGCAACCAGGCCAGCCAGGATGAAATCGCAGCTTCAGCCTACCAAGCTGTGATCCTGGACCAGAAGTACAACGACGAGCCGGTCCAGATCCGGGTCACGATGGGCAAGGAGCCGCCCCACCTCATGTCCATCTTCAAGGGACACATGGTGGTCTACCAGGTGCGGCTGGGGGATGGGAAGAGCGGGTGGGGCTTGGGTGAAGCCTGTTCTTCATGGGGGAGGGGCATCCCTGAAGGCGCCAGCTGGTGAGAGAGACAATGGCGGCGTTTCTCCCGGAATAACAAGCGCTCTTCACCTGGGAGGACCACCTGCCCTCCGCAGCTCCTTGACTCCTCTGCATGAAAACAAGGCTTCTGGCTAGATTTGCCTAGAGGGTGTACCTGTCAAGACTGTTGGTGCCTTCCCACACAGCGCAGCAGACACCCCATGCGCTCAGTGAAGCAAGAACCTCTTAACTGAGAACCTCAGACTCCCTGGAGAGCTGGTTCTGGTACCTCCCACATGGACCAACGTCGGGATGCTTAAGTCCTTGTATGAAGCGGTGCAGGACTTCTATGGAACCTGTGCACAGCCTGCGGCACTGGCACCCCGGGGTTCTAGTCCCGGTTGGGGCGCTGGATTCTGTCCCGGTTGTCCCTCTTCCAGTCCAGCTCTCTGCTGTGGCCAGGGAGTGCAGTGGAGGACGGCCCAAGTCCTTGGGCCCTGCACCTGCATGGGAGACCAGGAGGAGGCACCTGGCTCTTGGCTTTGGATCAGCGCGGTGCATCAGCCGCAGCAGCCATTGGGGGGTGAACCAACGGCAAAAGGAAGACCTGTCTCTCTCTCTCTCTCACTATCCACTCTGCCTGTCAAAAAAAAGATTTATTTATTTATTTAAATGGCTGAGTTACAGAGAGGGAGGGAGAAGGAGAGGGAGAGGGAGAGGGAGAGGGAGAGGGAGAGGGAGAGGGAGAGGGAGCTTCCATCTGCTTGTCTTCTCAAATGCTGACAGTGACCGGGGCTGGGCCAGACTGAAGCTGGGAGATGGGAATGCCCAAGCCAACGCTGCTGCCTCCCAGGGTCGCATAGCAAGAAGCTGGGATCAGGAGCCAGAGCTGGGACAGAATGAAGTCACTGTGGTGTGGACTGCGTCTGGACTGCCAGGCTAAATGCCCGCCCCTGCAATATTTCTGAGCCCTGGTTGGTTGAGTCTGTGGATGCAGCCCCAGGAATATGGAGTCCGCTTTCACCAGGCGAGGGCAAGGCGTGCGAACACCACTTGCAGGCTTTCAGGGAGGCTTGTCATGGTGCCTGAACAGGGAGCTAACTTGAGGAAGCCCTGTGTGGTTACGTGGCCGGAATAAATGTTGAGCGCAATGGGGCACATGCGTACACTAATCCAGGAACAGGCATAGAGGGCAGGGTGCAGAGGGGTTTCAAGGAGGCCGCGCTGTCTGGGTCAGAGCTGAAGAGCTCAGCGCAGCAGGAGAACACGCCACCCAGCGGCACGGCGGGGACCAGAACCCGGGGGAAGCCCCCATGGGGAACAGAGAGAAGCTGGCCCACGCTCCCTGGGCAGGCTGGGAGGGGGCAGTGGGTGTGTCTGCAGAGGCATCGTGGGTCTTCACTGGCTGGGGTTTTTATAGCGGCCCAGCCGGGGCTGTCACCGGAGGTTGTTGAGCGCAGGAGCGATCCAATCTGATCTTCGTTCTGCAAAGAGTAGCCGGTGGTGTACGGCTCCCGCTCTCTGCTTCTCCCCACACCCCTCCGCTGCCCACCGTCTTCTTCACTAAGTCCCTCTGCTCCATCTCCCTGTCCTCTCCCCACCACCGCAGGGGGGCAGCTCCCGAGACAACAGCAACCTGGACCCGGCAACGACCACGCGGCTGTTCCAGGTCCGGGGCACGGGCGTTAACAACACCAAAGCCTTCGAGGTGCAGGCCCGGGCCACGTCCCTCAACTCCAACGATGTCTTCATCCTTAAGACCCCGTCCTGCTGCTACCTGTGGTGTGGGAAGGTGTGTGATTGGCCCTGGCGGGAGCTGTCCCATGTCCCTCCCTCCTCAGACCACCCTTGGATTCTCAGCCTCGGTCCAGATCCATCTGGTGCTTGTTCTGATTGCCTCGGTCTGTCCCGGTCTGTCTGTCTGTCTCATGGGCATCCCATGCTTGCCCTGTGTCTATCACTGACTCCTCTCTCACCTCTGTAACAGGCTCGGAGCCCATTGGAGTCTTTTGCTCACCCACAAAGGGGGTGGGCATGCAGACCCCCTTGTCGCAGCCCCTCCCCCTGTTCTCTGGAGTGTCAAGGACAGGGGCAGGCGTGGTGGGGGAGGTAGGGGTGGGACCAGCGGCGGCCACGCCCAGCCCAGCCTACCCCACCCACCACCCATGGCCTTTTTCCCCAGGGCTGTAGCGGGGACGAGCGCGAGATGGCCAAGATGGTAGCTGACACCATTGCGCGGACGGAGAAGCAGGTGGTGGTAGAAGGGCAGGAGCCGGCCAACTTCTGGATGGCTCTGGGCGGGAAGGCCCCCTACGCCAACACCAAGAGGTGAGTCTCGGGTCCCTCTGCCGCCGGCGCCTCCCAGCGTCTCCCTCGCCCCCGCCCCCTACCCAGAGTCAGGCGTGCACTGAGGACTGTGCCAGTCCCCAGGGCTGTGAGACAGACAAGAGGCAGCCCCAGCCCTGGGAACCTCCTGGTGTGTGTGTGCCGCTCACCTCAGCACGCCCCTTCCAGAAGCTTTTTCTTTTTCTTTTTCTTCTTTAAAGGTTTATTTTATTTTATTTTATTATTTTTTTTGACAGGCAGAGTGGACAGTGAGAGAGAGAGACAGAGAGAGAAAGGTCTTCCTTTTTGCCGTTGGTTCACCCTCCAATGGCCGCCGCTGCAGCCGGCGCACCGCGCTGATCCTGGCAGGAGCCAGGAGCCAGGTGCTTTTCCTGGTCTCCCATGGGGTGCAGGGCCCAAGCACCTGGGCCATCCTCCACTGCACTCCCTGGCCATAGCAGAGAGCTGGCCTGGAAGAGGGGCAACCGGGACAGAATCCGGCGCCCCAACCGGGACTCGAACCCGGTGTGCCGGCGCTGCAAGGTGGAGGATTAGCCTATTGAGCCACGGCGCCGGCTCTAAAGGTTTATTTTTATTTATTTGAAAGAGTTACAGAGAGAGGAAGGGACAGAGAGAGGGAGAGATCTATCCGCTGGTTCACTTCCCAAATGGCCACAACGGCCAGAGCTGAGCTGATCTGAAGCCAGGAGCCAGGAGCTTTCTCTGGGTCTCCCACATGGGTGCAGGGGCCCAAGGAGCTGGGTTGCCCTCTGCTGCTTTCCTAGGCCACCAGCAGGGAGCTGGATTGGAAGAGGAGCAGCCAGGACTCGAACCAGTGCCTATATGGGATGCTGGCGCTGCAGGCTGGGGCTTTAATCCGCTGTGCCACAGTGCCGGCCTCCAGGAGTTTTTTCTAAAGAACATCTGTGAGCTGCCACCTCCGGAAGGCAAGCCAGGGAGAGCAGGGGGATTTGCCCTTGGAGCACTCTTGTGACGAGGGGGGCTCCTTCGTCAGCCAGAAGTTAGGGCATTATATATTTTTTTAAAGATTTACTTTATTTGTTGGGAAGGCATAGTTGCAGAGAGAGGTAGAAACAAAGAGAGAGGCGGGCCTTCCAGGGCCAGCTCTGTGGCATAGCAGGTAAAGCTACCACCTGCAGCACTGCCATACCCTATGGGCGCTGGTTCTAGTCCCGACTGCTCCTCTTCTGATCCAGCTCTCTGCTGTGGCCTGGGAAAGCAGTAGAAGATGGCCCAAGTCCTTGGGCCCCTGCGCCCACGTGGGAGACCCGGAAGAAGCTTCTGGCTCCTGGTTTCAGAGTGGGCAGTTTGAGAGCTCGGATGTGGCCACTTGAGGAGTAAACCAGCGGATGGAAGACTTATCTCTCAGTCTCTCTGCCTGTGCTTCTCTCTAATGCTCTGCCTTTCAAATAAATTAATCCTATAAAAGAAAAAAGAGGTCTTCCATCCATATGGGATGCCAGTGGTGCCAGCCGGGGCTTTAACCTACTGTGCCACAGCGCCGGCCCCAAAGTTAGGGAGTTTGCGAGGAGGCACCCTTCCTTGTCACAGTTCCGAAATTCTTTTTTTTTTTTTTTTTTTTTTTTTTTTGACAGAGTGGACAGTGAGAGAGAGAGACAGAGAGAAAGGTCTTCCTTTTGCCGTTGGTTCACCCTCCAATGGCTGCTGCGGCCGGTGCGCTGCGGCCGGCGCATCGCGCTGATCCGATGGCAGGAGCCAGGTACTTATCCTGGTCTCCCATGGGGTGCAGGGCCCAAGGACTTGGGCCATCCTCTACTGCACTCCCTGGCCACAGCAGAGAGCTGGCCTGGAAGAGGAGCAACCGGGACAGAATCCGGCGCCCCGACCGGGACTAGAACCCGGTGTGCCGGCGCTGCAAGGTGGAGGATTAGCCTAGTGAGCTGCGGCGCCGGCTCAATTCTTTTTTTTTTTAATAAGAAATTTATGCTCATTTTGCTGTTTCTTTTTCCTCCTCCTTCCTCCTAAGATTTATTTATTTATTTATTTATTTGAAAGGTAGAGTTACAGAGAGGGAGAGGCGGGGTGGGGGTCTTCCCTCTACATCTTCACTCCCCAATTGGCTGCAGCAGCCAGGGTTGGGCCAGACCAAAGTCAGAAGCCAGGAGCTTCATCTGGGTCTCCCACATGGGTGCAGGGGCCCAAGCACTTGGGCCATCTTCTGCTGCTTTCCCAGGTGCGTTAGCTTGGAGCTGGATTGGAAGAGGAGCAGCTGGGACTTGAACCAGCGCCTATGTGGAATGGCGGTGCTTCAGGCGGTGGCTTCACCTGTACGCCACAGCACCGGCCCCTATCCCCGAGTCCTGTGGCCTCCCCTCCCCGTGTCCACACGGTCTCTTCTCCATTCTGCAGACTGCAGGAGGAAAACCTGGTCATCACGCCCCGGCTCTTCGAATGCTCCAATCAGACCGGGCGCTTTCTGGCCACGGAGATCCCTGACTTCACTCAGGACGACCTGGAAGAGGAAGATGTGTTCCTGCTGGACGCCTGGGACCAGGTGGGACCCAGGGCCCGGGACCTGCCCCTCCCCCACCCTCCGGGGGCGGGGGCTGAGAAGAAGTGGCCTTGTGGGTGGGCACATATGAGTGTCTTCTCAGCTTCTCCCTGGGAATGGCCTCCTGACTCCCTGGAGCCCAGGGGGGCGATGGGAGGTGGGGAGGAGCCCCCTCACAGGGCCACTGGGCAGGCTGCCCTCCTCCCTCCCAAAGCCCCAGTTATTTCCCATGCAGCAGGAGAGCTTTTGAGAATCTTGGCTTGAGAGAGGCTGGGAGTCGCACATTTGCAGAGTGTCCAAGTGGTGGGCATCTGTCCAGCCTCCTCTTTTCCCACGTGCAAAGTCAAGGCCATCTGGCTGGGCAGTGGCAGGGTGGGGGCTCCGCTGCCGGGCAGCCGGGACAATCTGCGGCAGAGCTCCGCGGGCCGGCGCGGACGGGAAGCACTGAGCATGCGCGGGGCTGCTCGCCAGGTCTTCTTCTGGATCGGGAAGAACGCCAACGAGGAGGAGAAGAAGGCTGCAGCCGTCACCGCGCAGGAGTACCTCAAGACCCACCCCAGCGGCCGCGACCCCGAGACCCCCATCATCGTGGTGAAGCAGGGCCACGAGCCCCCCACCTTCACGGGCTGGTTCCTGGCGTGGGACCCCTTCAAATGGACTGTGAGTGGCACAGCCTACTCTGGGTGGGAGGGCCTTGCTGTGCCTATGGGACACGTGACCTGATGATTTGTACAGGGGGTGGCGGGGGGCTTTCCACCAAGACAGAGGCCCCATGCCCACCCCCAGGATGGGGGGTCTCCCAAAGCCAGCACTAACTCCAAGGCCTTTGTGTACCCTGAGCTGGTGGATTTTAGTGGCAAGAGCAGGACTATTTCAATCTAATTAAAATTAAGCAAATTTCAAGCTTGACTTCCTCACTAGCCATGGTTTCAATGCTCGGCGGCCACACGGGGCCAGCGCCTCCCAGACCAGCCCACTCTAGGTGAGAACATTTTCACATTAGGGCAGCAGCTTCCAGACGGTGCCCACAAAAGCGTGTCGGTTCTACAGGACCAACGACAGCCAGCGTGGCACTAAATTCGAGCACAATCCGCGGGGCGTGTGGTCCTGACCCAGGGATGCGGAGGGCAGGTCCTCAGCAGGGAGGCCCCGGGTAGGCGGGACCTGGCCTGCCGGCTGCAGGTGCCCTGAGTCGGCCCAGCAGAGCTTGGGGAGAGCATGAACTGCATTTCCTCGGTTTTGCTTTTTTCCAATCCCGTGCTCGGTGGGCTGTTTCCTTTTTGAGGATGGCATCAAATCTGGATGGCGGATGTTGGCGAAGGCAGTGTCCACAGCTCTGCCAGCCATGCCCTCCGCGGGCGGGTGCTCTGGCTTCTCTCTCAGCCGCGTTCGTTCCGACACAGCTCTGTGAGCCCGATGTGCCCGGAGCACACTCCCTCCACTGCTCTGTGCCAGGGCCCTAGTGCTGCCTGCACTGCTGGCGCTGGCCTTTGCGGGTGAGAGGATCGCGTCCCTCTCCTCCGCCGTGTCCCGCCGGGCGGGAACGCACATTGGTCCCCACCACCATCATCTGCCCCTCCAGCCACCTCTCCCACTCACCCCAGGCCCCACACCGGCCGCTGTGCTGGCTCAGCCCGGTCTGTTCTTTCCCTTATCCGCAGAACACCAAATCCTATGAGGACCTGAAGGCGGAGATTGGCTACTCTGGGGACTGGAACGAGATCTCTACTGTGAGTGTGGCGGCCTTGCAGTAGCCAGTGGGGGCTTGGGGACCGCCCAGAGAAGACAGCGGGGTCCTGAGCTCTCCTTCCCCTCCCCCGACTCCCCCTGGAAGTTCTTCCTGCTGCTTAACTCCAAGGCCTCTAGGAATTTTGTGTCCTCCATTTCCGGGCTGAAAGGGTCCCCAAGCTGGGTCATGCAGGGTGTGTGGATGATGGGGGCTGGGGAGCGGGGAGGAGAGAAGTCTGTTAAAAGGCAGAGTCCAAGGAAGGCCCTGCTCCCAAAGACTTGGGGTTGGCTCCTAGGAACCTGTGTTTTAAATGAGGCTCGATGCAGTCAGTCCATGGACTGCAGGTTGAGAAATGATTTCTCCACCGTCCGTCATCCTTGGGGTCCCCTCTCCAGGTCGAGTTTGACCTCTCAGTTAGTCACTGGCAATGTATTCAGCCAGCAGGCCTGGGGCTCGGGGATACGACAGGAAAGCCTTTCCTTCGAGAGGGTCACAGGCCACAGGGGACACAGGACACAGCCAACTCCGCAGAGATGCACTCCGCCTGGGAGCGAGTTCCCCGCTCATTGGGGTAATCAAAGGATGACACACGGGGCTCCTCCACCCACTGGGCGAGGACCTGTGGCATCAATACACCCTCCTGGTGACTAACAGTGCATAGCTAAAAACAGATAAGTTCAGGCTAAGTGAATTTATGGATGACAGCCTCACAACAGATAAGAGAAAGAGGGTCATAAATTCCCAGAGTCAAACTCCAGGGGAAGCCATGGGGCAGTTAATTAGTCATTGAGCAAAACAGGTCATCTTGGGTTGGAGTCAAACTGCTGTGGAAGCTCCTGGGTCCAGTCCAGCGCGTGTGTCCTCACGAGTGTGTGTGCGCTTGGTGTAGAATGGGTCCTGGAATCCATGTTGGCTTCCGAGAGGAAGGCAGCCGAGGGGGTGGCCATGCACCTGCTGAATAATAACCAGGGGTCTCCGTGTGCTTTCCAGGAGGTCACAAACCCCAGCGTGGACATGTTCAACGCCTACACCAGCCTTAGTTCCGGGCCTCTGCCCGTCTTCCCCCTGGAGCAGCTGGTGAACAAGTCTGTGGAGGACCTCCCTGATGGGGTGGACCCCAGCCGGAAGGAGGTGGGTCAGCCTCCACCAGGGGGGACAAAGACGTGCACAGCCTACCTGACCCCAGATTGTGTCCTGCTGTGGTGAACGAGACAGACCTGGGTTTGCCCTCCTGCCAGCTGCTGTCTTTTGGGGAGAGAGATCAGAGAAGCCCAATTACTCCCTCGTCTAATCTCAGGGATTATGAGGGCCCCCAAGGTGAAGACTATCACGGAGATGCCCTCCTGACAGGTGAACAGGGATTCCTGAAGCAAAGCGAGTGACAGGCGTGCCAGGGCAGAAGTGCGCGGGTCAGAGGCCCTGTGGGGGGCTGGCAGGGGACAGTGCCCTCTCCCGCATGTTAAGGACCATCTTGGCTGCCCATACACGCAAGGGACACCATTAGAGCTGAAGCGGTGACAGATCTGCTTGTCTGTTTGGGTTTTACTTATTTGAAAGGCAGAGTGAGAGTGAGAGCGAGTGAGCGGGCTTTACTCCCCGAATGCTCACAAGAGCCAAACCCCAAACAGAGGCCAGAACTCCATCTGGGTGCCCCACGTGGGTAGCAGGGACCCAAGTCCTTGAGATACCATGTGCTACCCTCCAGCGTAGGCATTAGCAGGGAGCTGAACCAGAAGTGAGGTGGGGCCTGAATCAGGCACTTGGCTATGAGATGTAACCACTGTGCCATGTGCCTGGCCCAGATGTACGTTTCTTCCCCCCCCCCCCCCTTCACAGTTTTATTTATTTATTTGAAAGGCAGAGTCACAGAGAGGGAGAGGCAGTGATCTTCCATCCGCTGGTTTACTCCCCAAATGGCTGCAACAACTAGGGCTGGGCCAGGCTGAAGTCAGGACCTGGAACTCTATCCAGGTCTCCCACACGAGTGGCAGAGCCCCAAGCACTTGGGCCGTCTTCTGCTGCTTCCCAGGCGCGTTAGCAGGGAGCTGGATCAGAAGCGGAGCAGCCGGGACTCGAAACAGCGCTCATGGCTTAACCCACCACACGGCAGCTCCGGCCTGCAGGGTTACATTTCCACAGGTCGCTCTGGCTGCTTAAGGAAGGGCGGCCAAGCCCTTCAGGACAGCATCGCTGCTGCCAGGCTGGCGGACCTGGGGCCCTAGAACAGGGGTGGCCAAGGAGGTGAGGAGATGGCTTAGAGAAACATGTAGAGCGCACAGTCAACAATCCGTGGTCACTGCTGCATCAAGGCTGTGTGAGGGGAAAATGGCGTCCCCTCTCCTGGGTCCTCCCCTCTGTGAGGAGGCCAGAAGGCTGTGCCCTCACCGTGACACTGACCTCAGCTTCGCCTGAGAAAGCTGGGGTCTGGAGACAGGAGATGACTTAGCTAGCATTCTGCAGCTAGCAAGCTGCGAAGCCAGAGTCAGAGCCAGCCCGACATCCAGCGGCGTAAGGAAGTCTTTTCTAGAGGCTGGGGGCAGACGATGCTACGGAACCAGGGGAGTGACAGCAGGCTGATTTTTCAGCTTGCTAGTTTCAAGTGGAACAGCCGGCATCAAGACAACGCCCTACGCCAGTGCTAATCCTCCGCCTGCGGTGCTGGCACCCCGGGTTCTAGTCCCAGGTGGGGCGCCGGGTACTAGTCCCGGTTGCTCCTCTTCCAGTCCAGCTCTCTGCTGTGGCCTGGGAGTGCAGTGGAGGATGGCCCAAGTGCTTGGGCCCTGCACCTGCATGGGAGACCAGGAGGAAGCCCCTGGCTCCTGGCTTCGGATTGGTGCAGCGTGCTGGCCATAGCGGCCATTTGGGGGGTGAACTAATGGAAGGAAGACCTTTCTCTCTCTCTCTCTCTCATTGTCTAACTCTGCCTGTCAAAAAAAAAAAAAAAAAAAAAAAAAAGCCCTATGACAGAAGCACCTAAAGGCTTTTCTGTCATGGAGGCAGCGTGCATTCTCGGGAGGAGCTGGGAGCTCCATGCCACGAGGCCTCCCTGGTTGCTGCACTCAGAAGTGAGTCAGTGAGAGTGGGGCGGGGGCGGGGGTCTGGCCGTGGCAGCAGCAAGAAGGTAATCTAAGTGTTTGGGCACGGATGAGTAAACCAGAGGGGCGGATGTGGGCATGGGTGAGGCTGGTAATCAGCTGGCAGGACCGCCAGGTTCAAGAGCAGGGCCAATGGAAAGATACAAGTCCACTGGGATGGGCAGAGGGGTCAGAGTCCAGCAGTGCTGGCAAAGCCGAGGAGCTGGCCTAGGTTGTGCTGGACAGGTGCCTAGGAGCCGCCTGTAGGGGGGCCTGGGACACAGCAGCCACAGCTGTAAGAAACCTGGGAGGGGGATGGTGCTACAGACAGAACTGGGGGACAGCACCTCTTCCCCACCCCATCATGTCCAAGCCATTCATATTTACTCTGGTCTGGAAACAGGGCGCTCCATCGCCCTGCCTGGGGGTGGGGAAGGCTCCCAGCATCTAGTTCCCAGAAGCCTTCAAGAGAGAATGGCCCCCAGGTGGGAGGCTGATGTGCCAGGTTAGAGACCTGGGCCAGCAGACCTATCCGATCTTAAGTCCACCTGCAAGTGTCTCCCAAGAAGTCGCTTGGTTCAGGGCCGCGCGCAGAGTCAGTACAATGGGGCCTGCCCAGGGCGGGTCCACCTTAGCTGAGCAGCCCACAGTGTAAAGGAAACCCACTGAGTTCCGCCTCCTGGTGTCTGGGGAGCAGAGGTGCAGGCTGGGAGAGGCTGTGTCACAGCAGCTGGGATTTGGGGTTCTTGCACGTGCCTTGAGGGCACTGGGCTGGCCTTAGGCAGCACTGCTATCTTATCATCTCAGATTGGGAACAAAGGTCTTTCTGTCAAGTCCCTAATCTTATCAGAGACACTCAGAGCCTAAAGGCAGGGAGGCCAGTGACTCCCAAGGCTACTAAAAGGTGGGATCCTGCTATCTAATCTCCTAGTCATTCATAGGAGAAGCCACAGCCATTCAGTTCCTACTCACAACAGCTAGGCAAAACAGGATTCTGAACTTGTCATTTGCCCTTTCTAACTTCTCCCCATCTCCACCCCCCCACCCCCGCCCCCTTGTATTTTCTGCGCTACCCTCCCACCATCTCTGGGAGAGCCTGCTCTTACAAAATCATCCAGCTGGTATTTGCACAGTGGGATAGAAGACTGATGAGGTTTAACATGTTACCTTCTAACCAGGAACAGACCTGCAAGCCAAGAGGGACGAAGCTCTTTGAAATGGTGCAGTCCACTCAGCTGTGAGCTAAACCCTACACTCGCAGGTCTGGGAGGCAAAGGTGACAAGAGGCCTCATGGAGTGCCTCAAACCAGTCAGTCAGCGTGCTGCAGGGGAACTTGCGTTGGGACCAGATGGCCGTGACTTCCGTGAGCTTTGACTGTATCATGTGAGAACAGGAATGGAGGGGCAGGCATTGGAAGATGCTGCTTGGGATGTCTGCCCCAGAACGGGAGAGCTTAGGTTCAAGTGCAGCCTCCACTCAGACCCAGCTTTCTGCTAACATGCACCCTGGGAGGCAGCTGTGAGGACTTGAATTCTTGGGTCCCTGCCACCATGGGTGACCTGGATTCAGTTCTGGGCTCCTGGCTTTGGCCTGGCCCAGCCCCAGCTGTTGTGGGCATTTGGGAAGTGAACCAGCAGATGGAAACTTTCTCTTGTTTCTCTCTGCCTTTTAAATAAAATTAAAAAAAAATTTTTTTAAAGAGAAAATACAGTTCTTCCTTGGTATCTTTCAGGAATTGATTCCAGGACCCCTAAAAAAAACAAAAATCTGCAAGCACCCAAGTCCCTTATATAAAAAGTAGTATACTCTTCTGTATACATTATTACTGTAATTATTATTTTAAAAGATTTATTCATTTATTTGAAAGGCAGAGTTACAGAGAGGCAGAGGCGGGGAGAGTCTTCCATCCGCTGGTTCACTCCTCAAATGGCCACAACGGCCGGAGCTGTGCCAATCTGAAGCCAGGAGCTTCTTCCAGACCTTCAATGTGGATGCAGGGGCCCAAGGATTTGCGCCATCTTCTACTGCTTTCTTAGGCCACAGCAGAGAGCTGGATTGGAAGTGGAGCAGGCAGGACTTGAACCGGTGCCCATGTTAGATGCTGGCATTGTAGGCTGTGGCTTTACTCACTACGCCACAGCACCAGCCCTGTCTCCTGTACAATCTTTTTTTTTTTGAAAATTTGAAACCCAAATGGCTGAAAACCAAAGATTTGTTTTTGTTTTTTAAAGATTTATTTGAAAGACAGAGTTAGAGACAGGGAGCTAGGAGCTTTTCCCAGGTCTCCCTTGCAGGTACAGGGGCCCAAGCACTTGGGCCATCTTCTGCTGCTTTCGCAGGCCACAGCAGAGAGCTGGATTGAAGTGGGGCAGCCGGGTCTTGAACCGGCGCCCATATGGATGTTGGCACCGCAGACGGCGGCTTTACCTGCTATGCCACAGCACCAGCCCACCTGTATACTTTAAATCATCTCTCGATTACTTACAATACCAGTACAATGTTAACAGTATGTATATAGCTGCTATACTATTATTTTTTAAAAAGTGAAGGTTTGAAGAAATGTTTGCTTTCATCTACTTGAAAGCTAGATCAAGAGAGAGAGGGGGGAAGAGAGTGTGTGAGAACGCTTCTCTCCACTGGTTCACTCCCCACATGCCTGCAACAACCAGGGCTGGGCCGGGCTGAGGCCCGGGACTCCATCTTGATCGGCCACGTGGGTGACAGGGGTCCCAAGCACTTGAGCCATCCCCTGCGGCCTCTCTGGACACATCAGCAGGAAGGCTGGATTGGAAGTAGAGTAGAACTGGTGCTGACATGGGATGCAGGTGTGTCCCAAGCAGTGACTTAATCTGTTGTGCCACCATTTTTTTTTAATCGAGAGGCAGAGACAGATAGAGCTCCCAACCACTGGTTCACACCTCAATGCCAGTGACGGCCAGGGCTGGGCTGAGGCTGAAACTAGGAGTCAGGAGCTCACTCCAGGCCTACATGTGGGGAGCAGGAACCAAGCACTTGAGCCATCACCTGCTGCCTCCCAGGGTCTGTGTTCAGGGCGGCTGGAATGGAGTACTGAACCCAGACACTTCAACATGGCATGCATGTCTTCTGTACTCTAGGAAAAAAGTCTGTGTGTTCAGCAGAGGCAATTAAAAAAAATGCTGACCCACGGTTGGCTGAGCCCATGGGTACGGAGAGCCGACTGTGTTCGACTGTGTTGCCGCTTGCATGTGTCTAAGCGCACAGCGCTGCACGGGTTACCTCGCTGCCGGCTGTGTCCACCGGCGGCCCTACTTCCCTAGCCGCCGTCTGACTTGGTCCACAGCAATGAAGGGCCCAGGAGGCTGCTCCTGGGGTGCTGGGCTTCTGCTAGAAGAGCAGCGCCTCCTGTGACAGCAGCAGAATCTGCAGCGCCCAGACCGGGGCAGACGTCTTTCTGGGAGTCCGTCTGCTTACTCTGCGGGTCAGGCGTGGGGTCACTGTTTAAGCAAGGGCAGATGAACTGGACAGCTTGTTTTCAGTACCTTTTCATGTGTTAATATTTTCACCGTCCTAAAAGTAAACAAAAATTGGCCTTTAAGAGATTTTTTCCCCATCTTACAGAGGGGAAAACGGAGAGCTGGAAAGAGAAGCAACTCCTTAACCGAGCTAAGTCAAACACCTCAGTTCTCATTTCAGGCCTGTGTGAACCTGACCCTGGTAGAAAGAGACGGAGTTCAACTTACCAATTTACTACCTGTTTATGTTACAAACGCAGGGAGCAGCACGCAGGAAGCCCACATCTGCTCCCTCCTCCCAGCCCTCTCCTGGCCCTGACAGCTGCTTGCCTGGTCTTCCCGACTGCTTATGCCACACGCCCGACTCAGCAGAGCAGCCTCTAGGGAGGAGAGTGACCTTTGCCCCCTCTCTCTCTCTTCTCCTAGGAGCACCTGTCCGTTGAAGATTTCACCAAGGCCTTGGGGATGACTCCGGCTGCCTTCTCCGCCCTGCCTCGATGGAAACAACAGAACCTCAAGAAAGAGAGAGGACTGTTCTGAGAAGCAGAACTGTGGTTGGAAAGCAGTGCCCTACCTTGCTTTGAGGGTTTCCTTGCTTTTATTACTGGGATTAGTCCTTTGCCGGTTGAAGTGAAGTTTTAAATTGTACCTGTGAGCAGCAGGCTGGCAATGGCATTTTTGCTTAGTAATCAACAAATTCCTTTAGAAAGATGATGGGTCTGCAGGGAGCCTGTGGTCCAGCGGCAGCTGTGAAGGTGCTGTTTCTATCCTGGGGTGTTGCATCACTGTAACCATCCTGCGCAGGGCGCTCCCTTCTTAGAGGAGCGAACACTCCACGCACCATCCGAGTTTGGAGGCGTCGCTCTAGCTGCTTCTCCGTCATGACACATTGTTATCCACGGCAGACAGGCGGAAGCAGTTTGCAATTTATTTTTTCCAGGATAACAGCTTCTCCTTCTCCCATACACCTTCTTTCTGCCTTGCTCGGGTGGTCAGTGAACGAGGACCCCTTCTTTGAAGGACAGTTAAATGGGCTACGAGATCGCTCTCTTGGGTTTCACAATGCTCACCAGCTCACTGTAGCCAGAGCACAACACAGCCCCTGGGCGGAGGCTGGAGACCTACAGGCAGGCAGGCGCTGCCCCGCGACTGTTCTTGCAGCCGTCTCCTGGCGCTCTGCACAGGACCGCAGAGGAAGCGCTAAGGCCACTGCTAGGCTCCCCACAGGTTGTCCCGAAGCCTCTGGAAAGCTTCAGCAGGCTCCTCAGCTGACCACCAGACACTCAGTGGTGACTTCAGCCAGACACTGGTTTGAAGTTCATTTCCTCTGAGAAGTTAAAGTGCTGCATCAAGTCCAGGCGACCTCCGCAACTTCACACAACCGGCTACCAAGTGTCTGCAAGAGTGTGTCCTTCTCAGAAATGACAGTCGCACGAACAGGTTAATAAAGGCTTTAATTTCACACACAAAAAACTCTATGCATAATTTAAAAAGGAAACAAAAACAAGGGAAAACTGTAAAGGATACAGAGGAACAGTTCTGCTAAAACACAGATAAAGTGCCGCTCCTTACAGAACAGAAAGAACTGGAATCAGAAGTCCACTCTGAACACAAAAGGGATCACCTCACAAATCATGTGGCCAAAGCTGCCAGCAAACCTGCTCATGGCTCAATTAGGCAAACTGCAGGAGCCTCACCTCACTTCTGTCTCCCTCTCTAAGCACAAAGAAAACACAGCGGGCCAGAGAAGTGAGGGAGGGAAACCCGGGACACCCACGAGACGTCTCATTCAGGGCCTACTGTTTTCCAAACAGACCCCTTCTTTGTTGTGGTATTTGACCCGACACACTTAGATCCTGACCCAGACCCTTATGCCACTCTATATTCTTATACCAGTGGATGCACCTGTAATTCGAACATTAAGAAAAGCCTGTGTTACTAAAATCAAATGCTCACATGCATACTGCCACACTTCCCATTAAAAACTTGAAAACCTCAGACACACAGCACCCATGGAAAGGAAACAATTTACTAACTGGGTACAAAGGCTACAACGAAAGAGACTGCCTAAAGTGCGGTAGTAACCAGGCATGCCACAGGGCCTCCGTGACCCAGTGAGACACAGCAACGCAACTGTCACTCAACGGTCAAGGCCTAAAAAGCTATGGTTTTCCAGTAACATACGCATTTTTTCAGATGTTAATAAGACACATAAAAAAAACAAACCCTGGATTCTTAATGCATTAGAAAGATGTCCGAGGGCAGAAGTCTGTTTAGTCTTGCACACGTCTGCAGTGTGAAGCATGATGGGAGGGGAAGGGTGCCTCTGCTTTGCGGGGACATCCTGATGCGGCTGCATCCGCTACGGGGCCGCTGGTGTTTCCAGTGCTCTCCTCGTATTACAAGGTTCCTGTGCAGTTGGAGCTCTAGCTGCTTCCCTGACTTAAAAGGGAAGTCCACCTTGGAGGGTCAATTATATCAAACAGGCGACAAAAAAATCCAAAAAGCCCACAGAAGGCTAAATAATTACGAGCATCCACTGCAGTCCTTGTAGAAGACAGAGAAGAAAGGGGGGGGGTGTGTTTCTGTTGTTCTTGTGATAGAACCTTTCCAGTAGGTCACAAACCAGTTTACAAACTATCTACCTCTCTTTCGTTTGGGTGTTTGCAGGTCATCTTCATTACACAACTGTATGTGTAACTATCCACACGCAGTTACATCACAGTAGTGCGGTAAGGAAGGGTGATTTCATGGGTCACCTTGTTAGAAACATGAGGACATGTGTAGTCTAGTACTTGCCTTCCGAGTTAACTTATCTGTACCACTGTGCATGTCTCAAAAAGTAAACAATTTCTATTTGTTATATTTGTTATTGAGCCACTTAAGCAAGGCCTGGAATGAACAGACCATAGCAAGTAAACAGGTGTTGGCATCACAGAAGACCAATTCATAGACTTGCTTCTTATTCTATCCTGCTGAGACAAAATTTATGAGTTATAATCATGGCTACTAAAGGGAAAACAGCATTTAGCCACATGCAATTTGCCAACAAGTTTGGATTTAGTTTATTTTTCCTTTCCAAAAAATTCCAACTGAGAGCAAAAGGTTGTGTTCAGAACTTACTGCTATCAAGTTCCAACTTAAAGTCTTTAAAGCAAGTAAGCACACATTTGGTATGTTCGATAGGAGGCTGATTAGTGATTGTGTAGCCTGCCGGGAGCTGAAGCAGTCTGCCCCTCCCTGGCCCCAGTGTGCTAACCGCCCCTCCTCTGATTCGGGGCAAACTGATCACATTGTGCAAAAAATAATATATTATCTTTTTATAATTTTTAAATATATACAGCCAGCTCAAAAAAAAAAAAAAAAAAAACCAACAAAAAACCCAACAAACCCCATCATCAAGTCCAGCTGCAACGTCTATTTTAGTCAAAGGGGTGAGCTGAGGCAGCCAAGGCAGAAGGGAAAGACTGACAAGGCCACAGTGATGAACGGACACCAGCAGGAGGAGAGTCCCAAACTGCCAAGTATATGAACAACGAGGTAACTCCTATACCCCAGACCTGCTTCCAGCTAACAAGGCCTGCCCAGGACACGAAGAGCACATAGAATCAGGTTACTGAGCCAAGTGTGCATCTAGGCAAGCTATCAAAGTACTGCAAATGAGGCTGCTCATGAGGCAAGCCAGGTTGACGCGCTATTTCTAGTTTTTTTCTGTGTCTTAATGCAGCCCTCACTTCAAAGCATTCCCGATCATTTCTGACAGCGCCTCTCAAAATTCGCTAACACAACAGGGAGAGTGGTAACACCTAGCTAAAGAGCTTCATCCTCAGTTCACTCATGAGAAAATCAGTTCTCTTCAAGTGAAAAACAACAGAGAGGCTCCTGATAGAAAGGAAACAGAATCTGTAAAGCTAGTTTTTTCCACAGCCCTAAACTCCTGCATTTCCCACCACCATATCATTCCAAAATGTCAACCACAGTAGTATCTGCAGGGGGCTGGTCCGGGGCAAAGCATGTGCCAGTAGTTCCGCCACAGTGCTGAGGCCATTTACAATTCGAGAATGGAAGCTGCACAAGGGGCTGAAGTTCTAAGAATACAGCTGGAGCTCGTTGAATGTAATCTCCCAGGAAAGATACTGCATCTTCTATGATTGATTTTAAGATGTTTTCTCCCTGAAAACTTGAGGTGGTTTTCTTTCTACCTCAGAGCTAAAGAGTAATCTCATTTACATAAAAGCATGAAAGAAAATAATGAAGGTTTTCTTTTGTTATACAAAACTGGTCATCCTAATGACAGTCTGAGCTCACATGATGCTTCTGTGGACAGAATTCCAGTCTCAAACTCACTCTTTATGGTTTCGGAAGCTGCTTGCCAAGCTAGTTATGTCAGCTCGGTGACTGATGCAGCATTAACGGTGCAACCCCACTTAGCCTCAACGCACAGCACCTAGAGAGTAAGACGAGATACATTACGCACCTTGGTTCCGTGCTAGTTCTTGAGATTACCTAAACCAATCACACTTGAATTTTTATCGTGTTTAAGGGCAAAGCCAGGCAGCAAATGCTAAATGCTCTAGTTTTATCCTATAGTTCAGGGGCTTTCGCTTTAGTGGTCCAGAATTTTAGTTCTGACACAACACTCCTCTTGACTGCTGAGACACAGAGATGCTAGTGTTCTGCCTTACCCCTAAGTATACCTGCTGGGCAGTCCTAATTAGAGCAATCCTAATTTTCTACCTTAGGTTTTGGTTACAATATTTTAGGTTAATAACTGTTCCATGGAAGAATGATAAGTTAGAAAATAAAAAACTTTATCTTCATCATCAAAATAATATAGGACTCATTCTAGAGGAAATGCAAAGTGTATGATGGATACCAAATGTGGGACCATAACACATTCCAAAGCACCAACAAATCCATTTCTTGGGACTGCATGTAAACAGCAAAGGCATTACAAATTCATGAACTTTAAAAAAAGCTCCTCAAGTCAGGTGACAAATGTCCCTCTCTTGTCAGGAGAACAAACCGTCATTAGTGTAGCAGGGAGAGCTGGCTTTCCAGTGAGCTGTACTAATCAGACACACACACGAAAGGTCACAGCCTTGAGTGAAGCTACTCAAGGAACAGGAAAGCTCAACACCAACTGATCTGCGCCCCCTTACACGTTTCCCGGATGAACAGACTCGGACAACCTCATTCCTTCTCCAAACTGCTGCGCTATTCATTTGAACAGGCAGACTCCGGCTGCTCATCCTAACTCTTTAAGGCTCCATTCATTCCGTGTGTGTATGTGTGTGTATGTACATATGTATATATACACATATATATTTACAACACGTATTCCTAAGACAAAAGGAAGTGCCACGCTTGTAGGAGAAAAAGAGGATAATCAGCTACAGATGTGAGACCAAGGTTTCCATAAAATAGTTAGCCTGGAGCATTCTACGTAACTGTAATTTTCATCTTTTGGTTTGGCCCTGAGCTATCTGTTGCTCCCGCATCAAGTAGAATCCCGAATTCTCCTCCAGCAGAGGAAGGTAGGGTGGCGGCAGGAAGGGGATCTGCAGTGCTCGCTGCCCACCCAGGAGCGGCTCCTCACGAAACCTGCCGTGTCGTCTTCCCCGCTTCCACGCTAAGTGCCTGAGAGTTCTTTTCTGTTTCCAGCAGCTCATCAAATATTTCCCTTAAAATTAAACAAACAAAAAAAATTAAAAAGGGAATTCAGTGAGAAGAACCAAAGGACAAACAGAAAAAGGAACAGAAAACAGATAATAATAAAGCCTACAGAATCCCATTTGGCACCTACATTTCATTAAATTACCAGCTTACGGTCTTTCTCTTCCCACCTCTATTACTTCACCTTTCAAATAAATGAATACATTTTAAAGAGGGGAGGATGTTGAGGTGCAGTGGGTTAAGCACTGCTTGGGACACTCACATCTCTGATCAGAGTCAGTTTGAGTCTGGGCTGCTGCTTATGAATGTGTCTAGGAAGGCAGGAGATGATGGCCTAAGTAATCCGGGTTTTGGCCTGGCCCACCTCTGGCTGTGTGGCCATATTGGGAGTAAATCAACAAATGTTAAGAGCTCTTTTTCTGGGCCGGCGCCGCGGCTCACTAGGTTAATCCTCTGCCTTGCGGCACCGGCACACCGGGTTCTAGTCCCGATCGGGGTGCCGGATTCTGTCCCGGTTGCCCCTCTTCCAGGCCAGCTCTCTGCTGTGGCCAGGGAGTGCAGTGGAGGATGGCCCAAGTCCTTGGGCCCTGCACCCCATGGGAGACCAGGATAAGTACCTGGCTCCTGTCATCAGATCAGCGCAGTGCGCCGGCCGCAGCGTGCTGGCTGTGGCGGCCATTGGAGGGTGAACCAACGGCAAAGGAAGACCTTTCTCTCTGTCTCTCTCTCTCACTGTCCACTCTGTCTGTCAAAAACAACAACAACAACAACAACACCACAGCAAGAGCTCTTTTTCTTTCTCGTCACTCTATCAAGTAACAATTAAAAAAAATTGGGGGCCGATATTGTGGTGCAGTGGGTTAAGCTGTGGCCTGTGATACCAGCATCTCATATGAGCACCAGTTTGAGTCCCAGCTGTTCCACTTCCTAACTAGCTCCCTGTTAATGTACAGGAAAGCACTGGACGATGGCCCAAGTATTTGCCATCCATGTAGGAGACCCAGATGAAGTTCTAGGCTATCAGCTAAAGCCTGGCTCAGCCCTGGCTGTTGTAGCCATTTCAATAAAGAACAGTAGATGGATCTCTAACTTTGCCTTTCAAATCAATCACTCAATCTTAAGGAAAAAAAAAAAAAGATGCAACTCACTTGTTTGATCACCATCTTAACCCCCTGGGTGCTGACTATTGAGGTTGGTGAGAACTGACAATGGTTAGCTTTAACAAAAATGCTATACAGGGACCAGTGTTTAGCCTTATAGTTGAGACGCTTGCATCCCGTATCAGAGGACCTAGGTTTCATTCCCAGCTCTGGCTCCAACTCCCTGCCAACACAGACCCTGGGAGGCAGGAGTGATGGCTCAATTAAGTGGGTTCCTGTCATCCATATAGGAGACTTGGATTGAGTTTTTGGCTCTCAGCTTCAGCTCTATCCCAACTCCAGTCATTGAAGGCAACTGGGGAGTAAACCAGCAAATGGGAGCTCTCTCTTTCTCTACATGTCAAAAAACAAGAAACAAACAAAAAGACACCAAAAACTATGGAGTTCCCCCATTCACATAAAATGGAAAGATCAAAACGGTTTATGATAGGACAGCCTCCATCATAAAACAAACTGTCTGAAAGCTCCACACCTAGATTCTACTACGTGATGATTAATTGATGCTGAGTTAGGGGGAAATAGCCTGGAATTTTAAGGAAATATCAAGAGATGAGCCCTAAGTAAAGAAAACAAAAACCAAAAATTGTCAATGAATCAAGTGATAGCAACACTCTATTCTTAAAGAAAGCAGAAAATATTTGGGTGAGATTTTCAGCCAGCGACTTCAGACATAAAGCAGTTTCTTACTTGTGCATATAAAAGAAGATGTAGCCACTCCGATCTCGATCGCTCTGCACGGCGGCCTCCTGGATTTTAGATACCTCCAGGTCATTGTAAGTAAACCACGACTGCTTCTTAATGTCGTACACATCACTAATATAATGACCTGAAACAAATAAAATTGTAATATAGAGGTTTTAAAAAAACATAATGAAGTTTTCTCAGGTACAGGAAGTTTGAGAAGAGAAATGGCTACCTATCCACCTTACCTCCAACAATGTTTCTAAAAATCCATTTAAAAAATAGGTATAGAGAATTACAGCAGGAATATAACTACAACAGGGTAGCTTTACTGATAAACATATTTCGCTCTGGGGACTTTAGGTCATTTAAGAATAAAAAAATCAAAACAGTAGTATCTATTAACACAAGTCACAGTGAGGGCGATCAAAGAAAATATTTCAAAATTTTTCTTGTGCATTCAATTTACACTTCATAAAACTAGGCCAAGAACAACATAGTGAGGAGGAAATGCTGGCTACTTCACTAACAAAACACTGAAAGTGTGATGTGCGCTTACCTGAAGAAGAGGTGCTGCCAATGTGACTGACAACGCTGATCAGTCGATAGGAATGAGGAAGATTTCCTGTCTGGGAAACAGAGTGGGCATGACTTTTTGTTTGAATAAAAACAAAGCACTGAATTCAAATTTATTATCAAAGCCAATACACTGAAGCTTCAGTGTATGGTGGAGTCAGCCTAAATAAAAATATTTCAGTGGGTTTGCTACTCATAAACTTTGATCCAAGAATTCTACCCCCAAATACCGACCTATCCTTGGAGATAATCTAAAAGAAGAAAAGAGTGTACGTAGCAAGTTATTCACTGTAGTATTATCTATAATAATGGAAAGTTGGAACAATATACCCAGTAATAGTTGATTGGTTAGTGGTATGTAAATTCAATACAGCATCATCTGGTCATATAAAAAATTATGTGGATTATCAACATGTTATCTTGTCCCTCGAACCTTTATGAATGCACGTAACTATAGCTCCATAAAAATAGGTTAGTGGTTAGGTGTGTGATAACAATGAAAAAATTAAAGGGGTGGTCGGTGTGGCCCAGCGGGTTAGGCAACTACCTGTGATGCCTGCAGAGTACTGGTGTGAATCCTAGCTCTGCTGCTAACGTGCCTGGGAAGTAACAGATGATGGCTCAAGTACTTGAGTTGGAGTCCTTGGCTCCTGGTTTTGGCTTGGCTCAGCCCTAGCTGTTGTGGCCACTTGGGGAGTAAACCAGTGAATGGAAGATCCTTTTTCTTTCAGGTGCCGGCACTGTGGCACAGCAGGTTAACGCCCTAGCCTGAAGTGCCAGCATCCCATATGGGTGCTGGTTCGAGTCCTGGCTGCTCCACTTCCAATCCAGCTCTCTGCTACGGCCTGGGAAAGCAGCAGAGGATGGCCCAAGTCCTTGGGCCCCTGCACCCACGTGGGAGACCAGGAGGAAGCTCCTGGATCCTGGCTTCTGATCAGTGTAGCTCTGGCCATTAAGGCCAACTGGGGAATGAACCATTGGATCATTGGATGGAAGACCTCTCTCTCTGCCTCTCTTCTCTCTGTGTAACTCTGACTTGCAAATAAATAAATAAATCTTAAAAAGAAAAGAAAAACAAGGAACAAGGTGTATTGCTGTAGGCATTATAGGTGAACTTTTACATTTTAAGTTTTTAATTTTTTTCCAAGATTTTATTTATTTTATTTGAAAGGCAAAGTTAGAGAGAGAGGGAGATATACCCACCCACCCACCCACCCACAGGTCTTCCATCAGCTGGTTCACTCCCTAAATGGTTGCAATGGCCAGGGCTGGGCCAGGCCAAAGCAAGCAGCCAGGGGTTCCATCCAGGTCTCTCTTGTAGGTAGCAGGGGCTCAAGCACTTGGGCCATCTTCCTGCTGCTTTCCAAGGTTCATAAGCAGGAAGCTGGATTGGAAGTGGAGCAGCTGGTCCTCAAACTGGTACTTATATGGGATACTGGAGTTACAGGTGGTGGCTTAACCTGCTATGCCATAATGCCAGCCCCTTAAAGTGTTTTCTTTTCTTTTTTCTTTAATGTAACTAAAATGTTGTTAGTAAAAAACTGAAAAATGGTATCCATGCAGTGCAGCAGCACTGTAAGGTTAAATTCTGGGAAAGAGGGGACGGCGCTGTGGAGCAGTGGGTTAAAGCCATGGCCTGAAGCGCCGGCATCCCATATGGGCGCTGGTTCTAGTCCTGACTGCTCTTCTTCTGATCCAGCTCTCTGCTATGGCCTGAGATAGCAGTAGAAGATGGTCCAAGTCCTTGGGCCTGCACCCATGTAGGAAACCTGGAAGAAGCTCCTGGTTCCTGGCTTTGGATAGGCACAGCTCTGGCTGTTGTGGACATCTAGGGAGTGAACCAGCGGATGAAAGACCTCTCTCTCTGTCTCTACCTCTCTGTAACTCTTTCAAATAAATAAAACAAATCTTTAAAAAAATATATTTGTATAAAATTTTTGGAAAGAATTTAGGTATATATAAATAAGAAGTTACCAAAATGTCCAGGAGTTGTGACACAGTAATTGAATTCTGGGGATTTGTCATATACTTCATTCCCCAAATGCCCATAAGTTAGGGCTGGGCAAGGGCGACACTGGGAGCAAGGAACCCAATTCGGATCTCTCATATGGGTGGCATGGACTCAAGTACTTGAATTATCACCTGCTGCCTCCCAGGGTATTAATAGGAAGGTGGAATCAAGAGCAGAGCTTGGACTTGAACCCAAGGCACTCCGATATGCAATGTGGGAGTTAAGTGGCAGCTGAATGGCTTCACCAAAACTCATCATCCCTGGGAATTTACCTTAAAGAAGAAAACTCAAAATATGGAAAACACTATAATCATACACAATTTTTCAATGTATTTTTATTACAGTGAAAAAAATAGAAACATCGTAAACAAATACTCATTGTTAAAAATTAAACAGTATGTTCATTTGAAGGAATATATTATAACCATTAAAAATAAAATACTTAAAGCTCTTCTAAAAATTTTTATTTATTTCACAGAGCAACAGAGAGAAAGGGAGGGACATAGAGAGAGAGAGCTCTTCCAACCACTGCTTCAGTACCCAAATGTCTGCAACAGCAGCCAGGGCTAGGCCAGGCCCAAGTCAGGAGACCAGGAATCCTTCCAGGTCTCCCATGTGGGTGCCAGGGATCCAGGCACTTGGGCTACTGCTTGCTGCCTTCCAATGTACATTAGCAGGAAGCTGGATTGGAAGTGCAGGAGTCAGGACTCAAACTAGCATTCTGACATGGGAAGTGGTCATCCCAAGCAGTGGCTTAACCTGCTGTGACATGACACCTGTCCCTAATAAACAGGAAAAAAACTGAACTTCAAAAAGTTTTAAAGCATATGTAGAGGTGGAAATGACAAAAGAGTACGTCAAAATGTAACAGTAGTTGCGCTAGGATAGTGGGATTGTAAGTAACTAAAATCACTTACTTAAGGAAAAAGGGGAGAGTCGAACGTGGTCAACATCATTCAACAGTTTTCAGTGAGTAACAATCAACTGGTTCTGGTATCTAACTATAAAGATAATACTGCTACTTGGTGAGCTACAGGTAATTTTGTACATATGCTATCACTCAGTTCTTACCTAACATAGACATAAGATGGTCAAGATGAATTTCTGCTTTTGTTTAGAATCTTTTTTTGTTTTAAAAATTTATTTAGGGGCCGGACCTGTGGTGTAGCAGGTAAAGCTACTGTTTGCAGTGCAGGCATCCCATATGGGTACCAGTTTGAGTCCTGGCTGCTCCACTTCCGATCCAGACACCTCTGCTATGGCCTGGGAAAGAAGTAGAAGACGGCCCAAGTGCTTGGGCCCCTGCACCTGCATGGGAGACCTGGAAGAAGCTCCTGGCTCCTGGCTTTGAATCGGCATAGCTCTGGCAATTGTGGCCAAACAGGGAGTGAACCAGAGGGTGGAAGACCTTTCTTTTTCTTTCTCTCTCTCTCTCTGCCTCTCCTTCTCTCTCTGTGTAACTGCCTCTCAAATAAATAAATAAATCTTTAAAAAAAAGATTCATTTATTTATTTGAGAGGCAGAGTTACAGAGAGAGGGAGACAGAGAAAAAGGTCTTCCAAATGCTGGTTCACTCCCAATGGCCTCAATGGCCAGAGTGGGCTGATCCAAAGCCAGGAGCCAGGAGCTTCTTTTGGGTGTCCCACGTGGATACAGGGGCCCAAGCACTTGGGCCATCTTCCACTGCTTTTTCAGACCATTAGCAGGGAGCTGGATTGGAAGTGGAGCAACCAGGACTTCAACTGGTGCCCAGATGGGATGCCAGCACAGCAGGCAGAGGCTTAACCTACTACACCATAGTGCCGGCCCGTTTTGGATCTTACATGTCAGGAAAGAACGAAGGCCAGGACAAAACAAAGTCCACTGATGGCTGCCAAACACGGAATCAACCTGCAATGGACCCTGAAGGAGGCCTCCGCAGATGACGACCAGGAGTGACACTGACAGCCTGACCAGCTCCACCCAGGGCCGAGCCTTACCTCAGCATTTCTTTTCAGCTCTTCAGCTTCAGCTGCTGTGTACTCCATGTCGAAAACGTCCTCATTTCCAGAGTCCTCATCAGAACCCAGTGCGTCCAGAAAAGAGTTGTTAAACTCTGGAAAACACAAAGACAAACTTTTGCAAAAGTTCTTGGAATAGACATAAGGATATGATTAGCAAGCTAAAATTTCTTGAGGCATGTATTTTAATCACCCTAAGAAAACAAAACAGTATTAGCATTTCAATTCACTCAGCCTGCCCTGGGGAATAACACTGCATACGTGTGTGTATAAAAGAAATATTTCTGTCTTATAAGTCTTATGGTTGCAAGAGTCAGGTCTGGGTCACGCCAAAGCCAGGAGCCTGGAGTTTCTTCCAGGTCTCCTTTGTGGGTGCAGGGGCCCAAGGACTTGGGCCATCCTCTACTGCTTTCCTAGGCCATCAGCAGGGAGCTGGATCAAAGTGGAACAACCAAGTCTCCAACTAGCACCCATATGCGATGCTGATGTGGCAGGCAGCACTTTTACTTGCTACGCCATAGCACCCACTACACTAAAGCTCCAGCCCCTGTGCTAATTCTTTGTGTTTTGTTTCTAAAGTCACTGTTCTTTCTCCATCTCAGATATAGAGAAAAATAACACTTTGGTGATATAAATAGAATTAGCCCAGTCCCTGAAACTATGGACTTTTGTGGACTTCTAGTATTTGGTTCACATATTAGTTCTTTAAAATGCCATGGCTGGGGCCGGCATGTGGCATGGCTAGTGAAAGAGCTGCCTGCTGTGCTGGCAACCCATACGGACACCGGTTTGAGTCCCGGCTACTCCACTTCCAATGTGGCTCCCTGATAATGCTCCTGGGATATCAACAGAAGACAGCCCCAGTGCTTCTGGCTTTGGGTGGGCCTAGCTCTGGCTGCTGCGGCCATTTGGGGACTGAACCAGTGGATAGAAGTTCTCATCTCTCTGTAACTCTGCCATTCAAAAAAGTATATAGATCTAAAAAAAAAAAAAAAAAAAAAAGCTGCAACTGTGCAAACCTTTTGCTACTGAATATTCATTCATATCTTTGCCCATTAACTCCCCCAGAACAAGCTCTAAACGAGGCACGGTGCAGAAGGTCAAGCCACTGCTTGTCATCTGGCAACCCATCTCAGAGTGCTGCTTCCAGTCCTGGCTGCTCTGTCTCCCCTCCAGCTTTTTGCTAAGGCACCTGAGAAGGCAGAAGGTGGCCCCAGTACCTGGGCCCTTGCTCCCCATGTGGGAGATCGAGGCGGAGTTCCAGGCTCCTGGCTTCAGCCTTGCCCAGCCCTGCTGTTGCAGCCATTGGGGAGTGAATCAGCTGATGGAATATGTCACTTTCTCTGTAGCCCTCCCTTTCAAATAAATAGATGTTTAAAAAATGGGGAAACTGGAGCCATTTCAAGCTCTTCTAGGAGTCTTAGCAGTGACCATATTAGTCGTTTCATTAAACAGATTGTTTTTGCCGTTAAATTTTTTAAAACTAAAAAAGTACATTGTTTAGCCACATGGCAATGAGATGGCAAAATCACTTTTTTAAAAAGACAAGCTAACAATGAAGACAACATGTTTTCCTCTGGGAGGCAGGGGAAAGAGAAAGATATATGGGTAACTTCTAAGGTTCTATTTCTTTATCTAGGTGGTGCTCAAATTTGCTATGCTATTACAAAGTACATTTTATTGCTCTTCTATTTGTGACACGTTTTTTAACATTATAAAAATTTAAGATGCCCTTCACACCTTGAAGACTTAGCTCAGTAGCTCTTTTGAGGTCATCATCTTCTTTCTGTTCCCAAGCCTCCTAAAAGGACAAAATAAAGACAAGGTATTTAAGAGGCACTGATTAAGGTTACCTAATGAGGATAAAATCAGTTCTCCGGAAGTAACTGCTCATAATGCTTTCCATATCTTTATGGAAATTTGGAATTTTGCAACACTGTCTCCCTAAAACACAATGTTGGTTTTTTGTTTTTTTAAGATCTATTATTTATTTGAAAGGCAAAGTTAAAGAGAAAACGGAGAAAGGGAGGGCAGGGGAGATGGAGGGAGGATGGATATCAAGTGATCGCCCATTTGCTGTTCACTCCCCAAATGGCCGCAAAGGCTGGTGCTGGGCCAGGCTGAAGCCAGGAGTCTGGAGCTCCATCTAGGTTTCCTACATGAGCAGCAGTGACCCAGTACTTGGGCCACCTTCCACTGTTTTTCTAGGTAAATCAGCAGGGAGCTGGATTGGAAGTGCAGCATCCAGGACTCAAATCATGTGGGATGCCGATATCACAGGTGGCAGCTTATCCCATTGTGCCACAATGTCAGCCCCACTGGTGGGGGTTAAAATTGGCTTGCTAACCAAAAACCATTCAATGTAACAGCAAGATGTAATTCCTTTTCTTCTTACATGTACAATATGCCAACACGTGACAGATACTCTGTAAACTGCTGCTTCTCCTTTGCCGATTTATATAGCATTTGTCAATTTCTATGGTCTAAATACTCCCACTATGGCCCATGTCAAGCTAAACACATGATTCTGAATGCAGAGCTGGGAAGAAGGGTGTACTGTCTCCTGAGCTGATGGTCACCTCTAGCACACCTTTCACCCTGTCCATGACAAACATGAATAAGAAGACACTGTTCATGGATTTCTAGTTTCTTGTTATTTATTGATTTGAAAGGCTAGTCAGGCAGGCAGAGAGCTGTTCCATGAGGTGGTTCACGCCCTAATAGCTAAAATAGCTGAGGCTGGGTCAGTCCAAAGCCAGGAGCTAAAAACTCAACCCAGATCTCCAATGTGGGATCTCCAAGGCAGGATCACAAACACTTGAGGCATTATCACCTGCTGTCTTCCAGGGAAGTTGAGATTGGAACCCAGGAATTCTGACATGGGACGTGGGCATCCCAAGTGGCATGTGTTATACTAAACGTCTGCCCTGGGAAAGTTTTTTTTTCCTCAAGTTTTATTTTTATTTATTTGAAAGGCAAAGTTACAGAGAGATAGAGAGATCTTTCATCTGCTGGTTCACTCCCCAAATGGCCACAATGATCAGGGATAGGCCAGGCTGAACCAAGAAGCTTCATTCAGGTCTCCCAAGTACATGCAGGGGCCCAAGCATTGGGGCCATCTTCTGCTGCTTTCCCAAGACTATTAGCAGGGAATTGGATCAGAAGTGGAGCATCCGGGACTCACACTGGTACCTATATGGGATGCCAGCATTGCAGACAGTGGCCCAACCTGCTATGCCACACTGCTGGCACCAAATTCATCATTTGGATGTCCATGGTCTCCCAGACTGTATTCAGTATTGCTGCTGCAGCTGCACCCCCCACTCCAATGCTACTACTACTTGTCAGGGTGGAGGCAGAAGGAGGAGGTGGAGAGGCCTGACCCGGGACTGGAGTGACTTCCTTTCTCCAGGGAAAGCTTTTAAAAATTAAGATTAGGAGGGCTGGTGCTGTGATGTAGTAGGTAAAGCCTCCTGTGCTGACATCCTATATGGGGACTGGTTTGTGTCTCGGCTGCTCCACTTCTGATCCAGCTCTCTGCTATGGTCTGAGAAAGCAGTAGAGGATGACTCAAGTGCTTGGGCCCCAGCACCCATGTGAGAGACCTGGAAGAAGCTCCAGGCTCCTGGGTTTGGATAGGCCCAGCTCCGTCCATTGTGGCCATTTTGGTAGTAAACCAGTAAATGGAAGACCTCTCTTTCTCTCTTTGCCTTTCTGTAATTCTACCTTTCAAATAAATTAATAAATTAAAAAAAAAATGATGAGGGCCAGTGTTGTGGCTCTGCAGGTTAAGCCACAGCTTAGGATGCTGGCATCCTGTTTTGGAATGCTGGTTCAAGTCCTGGCTGCTCTTCCAGTCCAGCTTCTTGCTAATGTGCCTAGGAAGGCAGCAGATGATGTCCGAAGTGCTTGAGTCCCTGGCACCACTGTGGGACACAAGGATGGAGTTCTGGCTCCTGGTTTCTGTCTAGCCCAGATCTGGCTGTCGTAGCCACTGAAGGAGTAAACCAGAAGACGGAAGATCCCTATTGCTCTGGTTTTCAAACAAACAAATAAATCTTAAAGGAAAAAAAGGAATTGTGCATTTAAAAAAATCAGATTAAAAGAAATTCAGTTGCCCAGACCATCTCCAAATAAATCACATTAGAATTTCTTTTGAAAAAATTTTAAGAAACATTTATTCATTTGAGAGGCTGAAGGGCTGGGACAAAGAAAGCTCCTATCTATCAGTTCACTCCCCAACTGCCTTCAATGGCTGAGGAACGGTCAGGGCTTAAGCTGGGAGCTGGGAATGTAAACTAGGTCTTCCATGTGCGTGGCAAGAACCCAGCTACTGACTCTTATCATTGCTGCCTCCTAGATTCTACATTAGCAGAAAAGCTGGAACCAGGAGCCAGAGCCAGGAATTGAATCCAGGTACTCTAATACAGGATGAAGTTATCTTAACTGCTAGGCCAAATGCCTCACCTCACATCAGAATTTCTGAGCCATCGGTATTTTTTAAAGCTCCTCGGAGAGGCAGCGCTGTGGCACAGCGGGTGAAGCGCCCACCTGGGACGTCCACATCCCATGTAGGAGTGCTGGTTTCAGTCCTGGTCCTTCGCTTCTGATCTAGCGCCCGCTAGCATTTGGGAAGACAGTAGATGGTGGCCTGAGGCCTTGGGTGCCTGCCACCCACGTGAGAGACCTGAATGGAGTTCCGGGGTCTTTGGTTTTGGTCTGGTTCAGCCCTGGATGGGGCAGGCATTAAGGGAATAAACCAACGGATGAAAGATTGCTGTTTCTCTTTGTAGCACTGCCTTTCAAATAAATCTTTTTCTAAAAAACCTCCTTAAAAAAGCAAAAACGAAAAATGAGAGAGAGAGAGAGAGAGAAAATCTTCCATCCATTCGTTCACTCCTCAGTTGGCTGCAATAGCAAAGGCTGGGTGAGGCTGAAGCGAGAAGCTGGAAACTTCATCCAGGTCTCCCACATGGGTGACAGTGGCCAACATCTGCTGCCTTCCCAGGCACATTAACAGGGACCTGGATCAGAGGCAAAGCACCGGGGCTCAAACTGGCACTCCAATATGGGATGCTGGCATTGCAAAAGGCAGCTTAACCTGCTAAGCCACAACACTTGCCCGCATACTGGCTACTTCCACAGCCTGCAAAATAAAGCTGGACTGGGAATAATCTCATGTATCCCATACATTTTGTCTCATCTAGATTTTAAAAATGGGGAAAGTTACCAATATACCTGTTTTCACAACTAAGCAAGCCCCCCCCACTTCTGGTGGATCAAAGATATATTGTAGGTAAATTATCTGGAACAATGTCTGATACAAAGTTCAGTGCTCAACACATGTAAGTTACTATTATTCTATTTAACAGGGATGAGAGCTACAGAAGGCTCAGTTATATAAATAACTTACTTGCTCCTGAAGGCTCTGAACCAGCGCCTGCTGGAGCTCTTGCTCTTCTCGTTCACGCTCCATGTCGTACTGTTGGAGCCAATCAACCTCTCCCTGAGATCCCTCTGGGGTTTTGTTTTCTTTATTCTCATCACAGTCTTTAGTTATCTCAGCAAAACTGGCAGGATCTGTGGAAACAGACATAATATTAACTTGGAAAATCCCTTCTACTAAACTGAAATTTCTGGACTACAGTGACATCTGCTGTTTGGAGCGTAATTTACTTTAATCTCATCTGTAACTTGCTTGGGACATAAAATGTCATCTTACTTCAAGTATGTCAGGGTCTCTCAGCCTTGTCAGCCCTACTGACATTCTGGGTAGGACAAGTTTTTATATATGTAGGGGATCTCTTCTACACATTGTAGAATGTTTAATTGCAACCCTGGCCTCTTCCTATTAGATGCCATAAACATGCATCCCTCTCCAGATGTGACAGCTAAAAATGACAGACATTGCTAAATGTCCGCTGGGGACAACACTGTCCTTTGGTTGAGAACCACTGATCTATAGAAGTGGTTCTGAAATCAGGTGATTATCAGAAGCTATGGTTAAGGATGGGGAAGAACAAACATTCAAATTCATAGGTCACAGTGTCACATGACCAAGAACTAGCTTTAAAATATTCAGATTAAATAAGAAGTAGGGTAGGACTGACACTGAGGCACAGTGGGTTAAGCTACTGCTTGCAATGCCAGCATCCCATACTGGATGGAGCTCCAGTCGGAGTCCCAGGTGTTCTGCTTCCAATCTAGCTTTCTCCTAATGCACCTGGGAAGGCAGCAGAGGAAGGCCCAAGTACTTGGGCCTCTGCCGCACATATGGGAAACCAGGATGGAATTCCTGGTTCTTGGATTCAGCCTGGTCCAGTCCTGGCTGGGGAGTTGTGGCCATTTGGGTAGTAAATCAGAGGATGAAAATCTTTCTCTGTCTGTCCCTCTCTGTCACTCAGCCTTTCAAACAATTAGGCTAAAAAGATTAACACTTTCCTATTATGTCAGTTGAGCATATTTTCACATCAAAAACAAATTTTGTATATATTCTAAATGAAAAGAGTTAAGTATAAAGTAAAAATTGCCCAAGTCTCTGGCAACTTGTATATGAGGGTAGTTCAAAGTTCCTGGAAAAATGGAACTAAAAGATACTTGTTTTAGTGTAAAAAAATTTTTTTTAAAATTTTATTTATTCATTTGAAAGGTAGAGAAAGAGAGACACATCTTCCAATTGCTGGTTCACTAACCCAAATGGCTGCAATGGCCAGTGCTGGGCCAGACTGAAACCAGGGGCTAGGAGCTTCCTTTGCATCTCCCACACAGGTACAGGGGCCCAAGCACTTGAGCCATCTTCTGCTGCTTTCCCAGAAGCATTAGAAAGGAGCGAGATTGAAAGTGGAGCAGCTGAGACTCATCTGTGCCCATATGGGATGCTAGCTTCATAGGTGGTGGCTTAACCTGCTATGCCACAACACCAGGCCCCTAAAAAAACTTTGAAAACATGGGGGTAGTGCTGTGGCATAGTGGGTAAAGCCGCCACCTGCAGTGCTGGCATCCCATATAGGTGCAGATTAAAGTCCCAACTGCTTCACTTCGATCCAGCTCTCTGCTATGGACTGGGAAAGCAGTAGAAGATGGCCCAAGTGCTTGGTCCTCTGTAATGGCAATGGGAGACCCAGAAGAAGCTCCTGGCTCCTGATTGGCACAGCTCTGGCCACTGCAGCCAATTGGGGAGTGAACCAGTGGATGGAAGATATCTCTCTCTTTAACTCTCTCTCTCAAGTAAATAAATAAAATCTTAAAAAAAAAAAAAAAGAAAATAACTTGTCATTTATTCATTTTTACTTATTTGAAAGGAAGAGAGAGAGAGAGAGAGAAAGAGAGAGAGAGAGATTGTCCTGTTCTCCCATTTGCTGATTTACTCCCCAAATGCTTGCAACAACCAGGAGTGGGCTATGCTGCCTCTCAGCGTGTGCAGTGGCGGGAACCTGAAATCAGGAATGAAGGTAGACTTGAATCTAGGCACTCCAACATGAGATGGTGGCATCTTAACTACTACGCTACATGCCTAATGTTGTATTTTAAATACATAATTTTTAAATAGAAAATTTTATTTAATAAATATAAATTTCAAAAGTACAACTTCTGGATTATAGCGGTTCTTCCCCCATAACCACCCTCCCACCTGCAAACCATCCCACCTTCTACTCCCTCTCCCATCCCATTCTCCATTAAGATTCATTTTAATTATCTTTATATACAGATCAACTCTACACTAAGTAAAGATTTCAACAGTTTGTACCCACACAGACTCAAAATATAAAGTACTGCTTGAAAACTAGTTTTACCATTAATTCTCATAGTAAAACACATTAAGGACAGAGGTCCTACATGGGGAGCAAGTACACAGTGACTCCTGTTGTTGATTTAACAAGTGATACTCTTTAAGTAAATACTTTTGTACAGTTCAGATAATTCTGAAGCTTACAGCATCTTGATTTAAGACTTTAAGTCAGGAACTATTTATTACAGAATTGCTGAGTGAATATTTATTTATTACTAATATGCACTGAAAATTTAAGAGGAAAAGGAACTCAAAATTAGAAAATATCAATTGTTGGGGCAAGCACTTAGCCTGGTGGTTAAGATATCTGCGTCTATATTGGAGTGCCTGGGTTCAACACCTGGGCAGCTCCAGCTCCTGACTCTAGCTTGTACTAACGCACACCCTGGGGGCAGTGGTGGCAGCTTAAATAACTGGGTTCCTGTCACTCAGGTGGTTGGTTTGGACTGACTTGTAGAGTGGGCTCTTTGGCCCAGTCCAGTACCAGCCATTGCCAACATCATGGCAGTGAACCAGTCTATTACTCGTAAATCAATAAAGTCTTTAGAATCTGATTTTTTTTTTTTTAAAGATAATCACACTAGGTTGCATATGATGCAACAGTTGTTTCAAGACTGATGGCAGCTGCTGATATGAATTCCTGCAATGAACTAGCTTTAATCAATGTATACTAAAATGTGAAAAACTTTATTTTAGTACCAAACGGTTCCCTGGTTACGATTCTGAAAGCAAGGAGTTTAATGCAGAAGTACATCGGAAGCACATTATGGGGCAGAATGTTGCAGATTACATGCGTTACCTAATGGAAGAAGATGAAGATGCTTACAAGAAGCAATTCTCTCAGTACATAAAGAACAATGTGACTCCAGACATGGAGGAGATGTACAAGAAAGCCCACATGGCTATATGAGAGAATCCAGTGTATGAGAAGAAGGCCAAGAGAGAAGTTAAAAAGAAGAGGTGGAACCGTCCCAAAATGTCCCTTGCCCAGAAGAAAGATCGGGTAGCTCAAAAGAAAGCAAGCTTCCTCAGAGCTCAGGAGCGGGCTGCTGAGAGCTAAACCAAACAATTTTCTATGAAGATTTTTCTGATAAAGACAATAAACTTATTGACCAAGCCAAAAAAAAAAAAAAAAAAAGATAATCACACTAGGGAGAGCAGTAATTTTTCCTTCCCTCCATTATTATTAGAGAAACAGACCTTCATGGTCTGGAACTGAGAAGCCTACTGATCCTCTCTGACCCTTTGGCCTGAGCTTACTGTACTTTAAATGGGTATTTGACTCAACCAATCAGATCATGTCCTGTGGAAATTTAGAACTGAGACAGACAAAAGTTAGATGATGATGAGTATAGCTGATCTGAAGCTAGGATCCAGGAGCTTCTTCCAATCTCTCACGTGGGTGCAGGGACCCAAGCACATGGGTCATCTTCCACTGCTTTCCCAGGCACATTAGCAGGGAGCAGAATTGGAACTGGCACCCATATGGGATGCTGGTGCCACAGGTGGAAGCTTAATCTACTACACTACAGCACCGCCCCCATAATTTTTTTTCAGTCAATAATTTTCAGCACTCACTGTAACAATGCACTTGAGACAATCTTAGATTATACCAGTAATTAGTCCATGGGATAGAAAGCAGATCAAAGAAGTTCACTTTTGAGATGCTAAAATCAATGTACATATGTCTTCAGGACAAGATTATCGGAGAGATCCAGACTACCACGGGGTCAAATATGTTCACAAAAATTCCACTAATAAGGAACTTGCACAATGGAGGGGACTGAGCCATGTGTTACCATTTTTTCTTTTTCAGTCTTTTGAATATATTTTTTATTTGAAAGGGAAAGTAACAGAGAGAGGAAGGGACAAGTTATCTTCCATCTGCTGGTATACTTCCCAAATGCTTTCAAAAGCCAGGGCTAGGCCAGGCGCAAGCCAGGAGCCAGGAACTCCATGTGGGTCTCCAATGTGGGTGGCAGGAACCAAAGTACTTGGGCCATTAGCTGCTGCCAATCATGTACATTAGCAGCAAGCTGGATTAGAAATGTGGAGTAGCTGGGCCTTGCTGGGGCAACTGGATATGGGATATCACTGTTCCAAGCAGCAGCTGAACCCACTGCACCGTAACACCTGTCTCAATCTTAACATTCTTATACTGAATACTGGGCTGTCCACTGTGGCTCCATTTCTGATCCAGCTGCCTGTTAACATGTCTGGGAAAAAAGCAGAAGATGGCCCAAGTATTTGGGACCCTGCACCCCCATGCGAGACCCAGGAGAAGCTCCTGGTTCCTGGTTCCTGATTGGCCCAGCTCCAGCCATTTGAAAAGTCAACCAGTGATGGAAGATCGATCTCTCTCTCCCTCTGTAATTCTGCCTTTCAAATAAATAAATGAATTTAAAAAAAAAGAGAGACACCTCTCCCATTGTAACAAAAGCAAAAACAGAGTCTTCAACTGATTGCATCTATTTTCCTTGAAAAATACCCCAGGCCTAGATAAAGGAGGTATGAAAAGAGAATTAAAGATGTCAGGAAGAGATCATGGTAACTGAGGAAATACATTTACTAAGGAAGAATAACAGAACTGACTAGTAGCAGTATCGCGTGATCATTTAGGAATGTAGTCATGAATTTCAGGAGTTAACATCAACAGTTTTATGAGTCTTCTCCAGCAATTTGCAGCTGCTTAGACACAGTCATGAAAAAAGACGGCGGGGTCGGTGATGTGGTGCAGTGGGTTAACGCCTTGGCCTGAGGTGCTGGCATCCCATATGGGTGCTGGCTCTAATCCCGGAGGCTCCACTTCGGATCCAGCTCTCTGCTACGGCTGGGAAAGCAGTAGAAGATGGCCCAAGTGCTTGGGGCCCTGCACCTGCGTGGGAGACCCAGAAGAAGCTCCTGGCTCCTGGCTTTGGATCGGTACAGCTCCGGCCGCTGCGGCCAATTGGGGAGTGAACCATCAGATGGAAGACCTCTCTCTCTAACTCTGACTTCCAAATAAATAAATTAAAAAAAAAAAAAAAAAGAGAAAGAAAAAAGACGGCAAGCTGAGAGTTGGGGTTTTGTTGGGCTGTTGTGACAGAAGCAAAGAGGGGGAGGAAATAAACAAGCACTAAGATATGGCATACACGTTGAGAAAGAAGGGAAGTGATAACAAGAGGGAAGTGCTGAGTAGCAAACAAGAGGGAGTCGATGGAAGGGGGAGCCTTCCTGCTAAATTTAAGAAGAGGGCACTAGGTGAGCTGGAAGTGGAGAAGGGTTAGAGAAGAATATTTGAAATAAAGACTTCAAGGGCAACACAATTATGGATTCGAGGAAGTGGTTCTCAACCTGTAACATGCATCAGAATCACTTGGGGAGGTGGTTATCAAAATGCAGACTGCTGAGCTTCCCACCACGTTTCTGTCAGTAGACCCGGTGCAGGAACAAAAGGCAAGCTTAGGAAGTGCCCAGATGACAAATGATCTGGGAAAACACTTTGAGAAGCAGGAATCTAGAGTATGACTTCCTTAAAGTGGCTGATCAAGAAGAAAAGATCTCTGAAATTAAGACCAGAGAAAATACGGCAGTGAAAAGATCTTTATGAGGATGCTGAAGCCTCTAAGACCGCCCATGCAGAGTGACTGGAAGGTAAAGGACAGCTAACCACAGGAGGTAACAGGTGGCAAAGTCTGATGTGCACCCTTGAAGGTAGTGTGATGGTTCAAGTAGTTGTGTCCTTGCCACCCATGTGGGAGACCCTGACTGAGTTCCTGGTTCCTGGCCCAGTCCTGGCTATTTTGGGCATTTGGGAAATGAACCAATAAATCTCTTTCTCTCAAATAAAAATAATAAATTTCAAAAATTATTAAAAAAATAAAAATGAATTCACAGCTAGTGAGTGTATAGCCAGAGGCCCAAAACCCCACTTCTTAGTTCAGCAATCTTTATTATTATGAAGGAATGAAACCAACGGATGAGGGAGAACCTGAATTACTTACACAATAACACCTCATACAAATGCAGATATAGAAAAATGAAAAGAGAATTATATAAATTTTGAAGATAGGGATGGTGAGAAAAGTGACCAAAAACTGATACAGGCCTTTGTTAAATACACATATGAACAATCCTAACTTTGTTGCTACTGAATACCTGAATGCATATGATACACTTTACCAGTAGCCATCATTACTTGTTTCTCATTTTTCTTTTTTAGTTTATTTTTCATTTGAGAGGCAGAGACAAAAAGGTCTTCCATTTACTAGTTTACTTTTCAAATGCCTGCAATGATCTAGGCAAGGCAGGCACTGAAGGAGCCAGGAGCTCACTCCAGGTCCCCAGTAGGGGTGGCAGGGCCCCAGTCACGGTGGCCATCACTGCTGCCTCCCAAGGTGCCTATAAGCTGGAAGCTGGAATCAGGAGTGGAACCGAGAGTTGAACTCAGGAACTCCAATATGGGATGTGGTTGTCTTCACAGGCATCCTAAGTGCTAGGCCAGATGATCATCCCTGCTTCTCATTTTAAAGTTTTTAAAATTAAACATGTAAAAGATTATCAGCTCTATCATAAAGATCCACTTCACCTCTCATTATCAGAAGTCGTAAGTCACTGTTAGGCTTTGAAAGTAGTTGTGCTTTGTTTACCACATAATTTATCTGCATTAAACCTACCTGGCTCTGTGGCTGTTTTGGGCTTCTCAGTTTCAATAGTGTCTGGATTTTCAGGCATTTCTTGAATATCATCCTCTGCAAATCCGGTATCTGGGCTGCTGGTTGGTTTATCATCATCTTCATGACTTGGAGATGGTGAAGTTTCTCTCTTACTTATCTCTAAGACAGCTGCTATAAGCTCTTCTTCATTCATTCTGTCAAATCCTGCATTTTCCATTTCGGACTTATCAGGCTCAATTCTGCATAATTTTGAATCCTGAAGAAGACAATAAATTTTAGAGGAAACTAGAATACCTACAAATATAGTGATCTTAATTAGAATGTGAAGTTGGAACATAATTTCTAAAAATTTTCCTTTCTTTGATGTTTTGGTTATTTAACAATCAATAATAGATGTAAAAACTCACCAACAAGGTAATTTTTAAAATAACAACACTAAGAATAGATGATTATTGGGGCTGGCACTGTGGTGCAGTAGGTTAATCCTCCACCTGCGACGCTGGCATTCCATATGGGGGGCCAGTTCTAGTCCCAGTTGCTCCACTTCCAGTCTGGCTCTCTGCTATGGCCTGGGAAAGCAGTAGAAGATGGCCCAAGTCCTTGGGCCCTTGCACCCACATGGGAGACCAGGAAGAAATGCCTGGCTCCTGGCTTCGGATTGGTGCAGCTCCGGCCATTGTGCCCATTTGGGGAGTGAATCAATGGAAGGAAGACCTTTCTCTCTCTCTCTCTCTCCCCCTGTCTGTAACTCTACCTCTCAAATAAAATAAATAAAATCTTAAAAAAAAAAAGAATAGATTATTATTTTGATTATAGTAAGTGTGCCACGTATGCTCTTTGTAAAAGCTTGAAAAACACATAAAAATAATAAAATTTCACTCAAAATAGATTACTCAAAAATAATTACTCTATTTTTGGTATAGTTCTTTCCAGATATACATGGATTATACTATAAATATTCTGTCATCACACCTAACAACCCATTTAAAATGCTGGCTGGCCTCATTTACTTTTTCAAAATATGAAAAAAATAAAAACTACATCTAGGTTATGTAAATAACTTTCATTTTCTCATTCAAGGTTAGCAACAACAAGTTATCTCGAGGTTTGAAAGCTCAAACTGAGGCCAGCGCTATGGGGCGGAGGGTTAAAGCCCTGGCCTGAAGCCCCCGCATCCCATATGGGCGCCAGTTCTAGTCCTGGCTGTTCCTCTTCCAATCCAGCTCTCTGCTATGGTCTGGGAAAGCAATAGAAGATGGCCCAAGTCCTTGGGCTCCTGCACCCACGTGGGAGACCCAGAAGAAGCTCCTGGCTCCTGACTTTAGATTGGCTCAGCCATTGGAGGAGTGAATCAATGGATAAAGACCTCTTTCTGTAACTCTTTCAAAAACAAACAAAAAAAAGCTCAAATCAGGGTGGGTGTTTGGCACAAGAGTTAAGCTACTATTTGGGATACCCACACGGCAGTGCCTGGGTTCAAGACCCTGCTATTCTTCAGGTACAGTTTCCTGTGTCTGCATCCTAAGAAGCAGCAGGTGATGGTTCAAGTATTTGGGTCCCTGTCACTCATATGGGAGTTCTGGCTTGAATTCCTGGCTCCTGATTCTGGCTTGGCTCAGCCCTGGCTGTTGTAGGTACCTGGAGAGTGAAACAAGGAATGGATGGAGGATCTCTTTTTATCAGTCTCTCTGCCTTTCAAATAAAAGGAAAAAAATAAAAGATTTCAGCTTTTACAGTATTAACTATCATTAAATATCATGAGAGATATGATGCAGTTATGTGTTCACAACCATGATTTAAACAATCAGATTACTTGGTGCTCCATTGATGTAAACATGTACTACAGTTCCTTTAACATAAGCAAGTACGACCAAAATAGAGCAAGTAATTATTTGAAGACCAATATGTAAAAGCAGTTTTGAAGGGACCTTTCTCTCTGTCTCTCTCTCTCTCACTGTCCACTCTGCCTGTAAAAAAAAATAAAAAATAAATAAATAAATAAAATAAAAATGGCTGGCACCGCGGCTCACTAGGCTAATCCTCCGCCTAGCGACGCCAGCACACCAGGTTCCAGTCCCGGTCGGGGCACCAGATTCTGTCCTGGTTGCTCCTCTTCCAGGCCAGCTCTCTGCTGTGGCCTGGGAGTGCAGTGGAGGATGGCCCAAGTGCTTGGGCCCTGCACCCCATGGGAGACCAGGAGAAGCACCTGGCTCCTGCCTTCGGATCAGCGCAGTGCGCCGGCCGCGTCGGCCATTATAGGGTGAACCAACGGCAAAAGGAAGACCTTTCTCTCTGTCTCTCTCTCTCTCTCTCACTGTCCACTCTGCCTGTTTTAAAAAAAAAAAAAAAAGTAGTTTTGAGGGGAACAGGAGAAAGAGCTTCATCCGGGTCTCCTATGTAAGTGGCAGGGGCGCAAGTACTCGAGCCATCCTCTGCTGCTTTCCCTAGGCCATGAAGGGGGAGCTGGATCAGAGGTGGAGCAGCTGGGACTTGAACCAGTGCCCATATGGGATGCTGGCGTTGCAGGCGGTGGCTTTACCCATTACGCCACAAAGCCGGCCCCTCTAAAGTCTTGATGCATCTGTAAATAGACTAATCTTGCAGTCCATCTTGCATATTTAATAAGTTTGCTGATGCTGATTATAAAGGGCATTTGTTTGGACAGGAAGAGCTATACATGTCTGCTAGATGTTTAGATAAAAAGTTACTTACTTTTTCCAGGTCTTCCTGTTGTTGCTCATTGCTGGTCATTTCACAAAATCTCTGGCTCAGGGCCACAGAGCGTTTTAGTTCATCCTCACTGTCTGAATCCAGGCATAAAGCCAAGGAGCTCTTGGACTTGAAGGTAAATTTCCTACAATTTAAGGCAAAAGAAATTATGTTAAGTCTGATAAACATTTGTCTCTGTTATGCTTTTCATGTATATAAAAAAAAAAAAAACTTCCATTATAGAAAAGCATTTAACAGAAAAAAAGATCTTAAAAGAAGTATACTGAAGCATTACCTTTGCCCCACTCCAAGAGCCATGCTTTGAAAACTGGACAACCCTGCCACTATATAGCATCAGTAAACTAATCACTTTGAGCCTTTTTTCTTTCAATGATCAACCCCAATGAAGTTTTCTCTTTTCATTATAAAGTAAGTACTTTACTGAATTCATGCAGGCATAGCAATGAGTATGTGTTTTTGACAACAAGTGCATGAGGACTAATTTTTTGATCTTTGAAATTATGTTCCATGCACTTTAAAAAGAACAGTAACATTCCACTTATCCACGTATCTGCAGGTCAGACTTCTGGCAACCTCTACCTTCCAGAACATAGGGATTCCAAAGTAAGAAATAAGACTTCTGAGGAAGGCAGTTCCAAAGCCCATGCACTTACAGGGACCCTCTCTCTCCAAGGGAATGGTGTATAAAATAGTGTAGCAAGTTCATCAAGAAATGAGAGCTAAGAAATAAGAGAGAATAACCATAACAAAAGGGCAAAAAACTATGCAATCATTTAATGTAAAGGAAAACTGTCTTGTAATAATTAAGAGCCTTTGAAGGCACTATCATATTAAAACACAGTGCAGTAACTGATAAAATGCTAATTCCAAGGCATTAAAATATACTTGCTATCTCCAGTGTATTTTATTTAAGAAAATAATAGTTGCAACATATTTTAGAAAGATTTTCATCCAAAATGGCTAAAATGTTTAAAAGGTAAATGCTTAGAAAGTCAAGTTTCAGTTATGTAAAAATTCACTTATTCCACTTATGTGGAATACCAAATTTATTCTTCAGTGATATCAGATAAGTAAGGTGTTACTGTGTGATTTTCTAGGTGAACTGAAAATAAACTAAAGGAGAAGGTGGTAAAGGTGAAGGAACAACTTTCTTTGATGAAGGTTAACATAAATTCATATGCTATACTTAAAAAAAAGGAAATAGGAAAAATGCAATTAGCCTAAATGTGAAAACTGTAAATAAACATACAGAATGCTGGCACCAAGAAATCAGAGGCCACAATGGAAATCAAGAGAACCGCACAACAATGTAGATCAAAGAAAAGAGGCAAGTGGTCAGTGATCAGCTCAAACAGTCTGTGGCTGAGAGCAGCCGGGTATCACTGCACTCAGCCTGAACACTTCATAGCCTCCCATTATGTTCAAGATGTTTTTCAGTATAACTTAGAAAAAGCCAATTAGGCGTCCTACATCCTAATTTCTGATTTCATGTTCTTATACACCTGAACATACGAATCTGTTTATCCAGGTAAATACTTTGTTGAAGGAGGGTGACACCTGGATACTACTGCACCAGGGTCAAATGAAATTGCAGAAGAATCAATGGTATTCTGTTCATAACTCAGCCTCTTTTAAGTTTGATCGGCATGGCAGGTCTTCTAGGGCCTAATTAGATTTTACTGACCACCTCTCATTCTCATAACAGTAGACCCTGGAGAACAGATGACCATGCCAAGGTACAATGATGCCCAATGAAACCATCTCTTTCTTGCAACTATGGTGATTTGGTACATAAAGAGTGCATTCCATTAATGATTACTATATTCACAGAAGGCAGCTTGCCTGTAGCAATGAAAAATATTCATCCTGTAAATGCATCACTTGCTCACTTTCTAAGCAGCCAAGTGGTATTGCTCATTTGTATCTTGAGAACGGACAAGAGTATTCATATCGGTACCATTTCAGATTTCTAGCCATGTTAGTCATCTGGTTTTAATTGCACTGAAAAATAATTAACAGGAGGAAAAGAAAAGAGCAGTTCCCAAATGTCATTTTATGATTATATAAGCCCCTCCCCAAAAGCCCTCAAATAACAAATGTGTTTTTTTTAATATACTTTGGGACATCAAATTTTTGGAAAAACATTTTAAAGTCAAATGACAACTAAGTCAGTTGGAACTGTCTAATTAGGAACTATGATTATAGTAAAATCTTAGAGGAATAGTTTAAAAGAAAAAAATTATTGGCTTCTCTCCTTGGATAAACTTTTGGTCTTAAACAAAAGCAAAGTATTTACAGAATCACTACATTCCAGTGTGTATTTGTTTTCCTGTCGCCCTTCAGAATCTTCTGTTCACAGGATCACAAACAGTCCAGCTGGTTAGCCGCAGGTGAAACGAGGATTTAGAATCCGGTGCCTATCTTTGAGGAAGAGTGCTTTAGACTAAGAGGGGCTATTTTAGCCACTCAATTCTTAAAATCCTTCATCACTTAGTAAATTTTTAAGTGCTTTAGGATGAAAATATTACACAGCACAAATGGTAAGTTTTAAAACAAAATATTGACAGAATCACCTGAACTTGCTTCATTGTTAAAAACTTGTTACACTATAGGCTCTATTCTAACCCAGATCAGAAAAATTTCAAAGTAGTGGTAATAAAGAGTAGTTATCATGCAAAAAGAGAGACAATAAAGAAAAAGTGGGAGGAGGGGCAATATCGGAGATTAGGACAAGCTGAATCCTTAAAAATAAAAATTTCGGGGTACATAAGAAATGTAACTCACTTTGAAGGTGTAGAAGGGCTGGTGATGCAGGAATTCACCATTTGAGAGGCTTTCAATGGTCTAGAACTATCAGAAAATTAGAAAAATATATAATGTATACAATTACATTATTAAAGATAGAATTTAACTTATAAAATGAATTATTCTGTACTATAATATCCTCTTGAAAGGCAAATAATTGTAATACTTTTAAAATTACTAGTAACAGATGCCAGAAGAGAAAATGAAATACCATCTCTATGCAGCCCCTGATCTAATTAATTTAAATATACATCATTGGAAATAAAGTCAAGTGTAATGCACAGGAAAACAGCACTTGGAGAAAACTTGGTTCTTTACTTTTAAGCAATAAAATAAGAATAGCTCTCATTTATTGAGGACTTACTAGATGTCCAACACCATACTATGCTAGTGTACTATCTCATTCAGTGTTCAAAACTACCTTCTTGTCTTACAGACAAGAATTTGCCCAACATCTCCAAGCTATTAAACTGTGGAGTCCGCTTGGTTTCAGGACTGTGATCACAAAGACTCAACACTGACAGTATGATATAAGACTACTGCCAGAAAGAGTACAAGCAGAGGGCAGTTTGCCCCAAACAAAAATGTTCACTTCAAAGAAAAGCCACAAGAGAAAAACATCAGCAGCACTAGGACTCTCCGGGCACATTCACATTTTAAAGGACTTTAGTTAGTGTAAGCGTACATAGCTTAGAAAGCCAAAGAGAAATACATTTTACAAAACCGTAACTGTTCATGTTAGCATCAGTCATTCACCATCTGAAATGTCTACTTCTGCTAAGAGATCTGGCTCTTTGTCTCACTATCTGTATGACCTTATCTGTAAGTGATTAATCACTAATCTCAGCATCTCAGGATTTGGACAAAATATCAGGATTTGGACAAAATATCCAAATTCTTCTTCACCTCTACATCTAGATGATTCTACCAAACTAATGTTCAAGCAGAAAAGAACTCATGGGGCTGGTATTGGGCACAGCAGGCTAAGCTGCCACTTGTGGTGTCAGCATCTCATACTGGAGTGTGGTTGAGTCCCAGCTGCTCCACTGCTGATTCAGCTCCCTGCTAACGTGCCTGAGAAAGCAGCAGAAGATGGCCCCCAATTACTTGAGCTGCTGCCACCCACATGGGAGACCTGGATGCAGTTCTTGGCTGTTGGCTTCTGCATGGGCTAGCCTTAGCTGTTGCATTTGGGGAATGAACCACCAGATAGAAGACATCACTCGCTCTCTCCTTCTCCCTCTTTCTGTCACCCTGCCTTTTGAATAAATACGTTAATTTTTTAAAAAGGAAAAGAAACCACAGCAAATTGATCCAAGGTAATACAGCATGCCAAAAAAAAAAAAAAAAAAAAAAAAAAAAAAAGTAACATTCAGAGAAGGCCCAAGGGTTTCCCAAAGTCAAGGTTGTTTCTTATCTCTTTGAAAGTTTCTTAGGAGTCACTGAAGTTCTCCACATTGGTGAGAAGATATTTATGAAGGCACAATTTATCTGGAGGCTCCAGCATAACATTTACTACACTGCCTTTCAAATTTACCATGTCCTAAAGAGTCAGTGGAGGCATTTTTAGACAATACTGACTCCTGAGCCCTATCTTAGATCTAATGAAACAGAACCTCCAATTTAGAAATCAGTATTTTCAGCGTTCATGTGATTCTTATGACCACCCACGGCTGACTTATATTCCCAAGTGTATCAAACTATCTTCTAGCAGTCTAAAAGAGCACTCCTGCAAGAAGTACCTCACAAATGGCAGTTAATGATCTTAGAAGAATTTTGTTTAAATGTTTTTTCAATTACATCAAACCAGCAGTGATTTAATTCCAAAATGAAGCAACATCAAAATCTCCTTCTTGGTCTGATTTTATCAGCGAGTCATGTTCTGATCAGACACTGAAGGCTTTTATTTCACAAAGGAAGGTAAAGGCATTCTCTTAAGGACTTACATTGCCATGTGTGCACTCCAGCTGAGAGCAAAAGGTGGTTTTGTATTTTCAGTGCAATGAGATGACAGAGTCAGGTATCTTGGAATGATGACTTGCTGCCCAATCTTGTTGTTAAGTGAAAGAGTCACATTGAAGCTATATCGTTTCAAATGAAGAATGAGGACTCTGAAAAATAGTAGATCACCTTACTAATTCATACATCATACATAGAGAATATCTAACTAACAATGTTAGATAACTTAAAACATAGCAAAGAAGAATATTAAATTTTAAATGTTAGTACTGATATTAGTTTTACTCCTTAAGTTATTTATTTCATTGTTAAACAGTTTAAAAAAACATAGTGTTATATAACCACTAATGGTAAAAGATTATCTATTAAAATATTGTATGGCCCTTACATTTGACGGTAAAAATTATTTCAAGGTTATTTCCATAAGAATTATTCTTACTTTTTTTCTTAATGCTTATTTATTTTCATCTTTTTGAAAGGCAGAGTGAAGAGTGAGAGTGAGAGTGAGAGTGAGGGTGAGAGAGAAAGAGAAAGAGAGAGATCTTCCGCCAGCTAGTTTATTCCCCAAATGCCTGTAAAAGCAGAGGCTGGGCCAGGTGGAAGCCAGGAGCCTGGAACTCCACGCAGGTCCCACATCCGGGAGGCAGGGGCCCATGAGCAGAGTTGCCAGTGCTTCAGCAGTGAGCCAGCACTCCAATACAGGATGTGGGCGTCCCAAGCAGTGTTTTAACCCACTATGCTTTTTTTTTTTTTTTTTTTTTTTTTTGACAGAGTTAGTGAGAGAGAGAGACAGAGAGAAAGGTCTTCCTTCCATTGGTTCACCCCACAAGTGGCCGCTACTGGTAACCCACTATGCTTTAACCCTTGTCCCACAATGCAGGCCCTGCTATCTTATTTTTAAAAGCACTTTCTCTGGAGAAAGCTGAGAGAACAATTTTTTCCACGTGGAAAAAGAGTCATATAAAAATTGTATGCAAAATCTGGTTTGTGGGTCTGAAAGACTTACAGTTCTTCAGAAATAATTAATTCTGGTTACTACTCTGATAAACTTTTTACTTCTCATACAGAACATACTCTCTGCCTGATGGATCAGATATCTCTCACAGCCCACAACCACACTTAGAAAAAAATTAAGTTTCAAAAGTGTTATGGAAATAAACTCCAGTTCTAGACAAACAAAACAAAACAAAACAAAACAAAAACCCAAAACAAGCAAACAAAAGTCTGCTCTATGGAAAACTCTTTCCATTCTTACTGTATAAGCCTCATCACAGAGGTCACAAACTCAAAAGTTAGCAAATTAAAGTTATTTAAAAAAAAGTATGCTAGAATTCATGACCTCTAAATTCACAACGTTAGAGAAAACAAGGATCCAACTGACATGAAGAGACTAAAACTAACGTCAAAAGTCAAACATTTTGACTAAAATTTCAAAAATCCTAACTGAAAGAAAAGGTAATACAAAACAGAAAGATGACACTAAAAATCACTGATCTGCAAAGATGAGGCAGACTAACAGTAAACAGACCTGACGAGGATAGCAGGCCCTTCAAGAATAAGGTAGAGTGCTCTGAACATTAAGTGAACAAACAGAGAATGGGACTAATCATTAGGATTTGACACAGATATTCTATTTCTTGTGAGTTTGGAATAAATTAACACCAAACACAAATAACTTCCCGGAAAATATTTAAAACAAAAGGAAAATTCTCCCCACCTGAAAGACCAAATAGCTAGACAATGGGAAAGGGAAGAGACAAAAGTTGTGAAGCCAGGAAAGTCTTGTTAACTGAACACTTTTTCTTAGTTGGTGGTGAGAGCTGGTAACAATCAATCATCTGCCTTAAGATTAGTATCTCTGACCTTCCTGCATCAAAACCCACACAAATAGGAAAGAACAAAGTCTCTTAAGTAAAATATAGAGATTGTGATCAATATAGCAATAGTGCTATATTTATAAAGTTTTTTTTTTTTTAATTTATTTGACAGGTAGAATTAGACACAGTGAGAGAGAGAGACAGAGAGAAAGGTCTTCCTTCCATTGGTTTACTCCCCAAATGGCCGCCATGGCTGGCACTGGGCTGATTCGAAGCCAGGAGCCAGGTGCTTCCTCCTGGTCTCTCACAGGGGTGCAGGGGCCCAAGCACTTGGGCCATCCTCTACTGCTTTCCTGGGCCACAGCAGAGAGCTGGACTGGAAGAGGAGCAACAGGGACAGAATCCGGCGCACATATGTGATGCTGGTGCCGCAGGCGGAGGATTAACCAAGTGAGCCACGGTGCTGGCCCCCAAAAGCCATTTTTTTTAAACAACCCATTTTCTAGAAAAGAGTAATTATGGTATATAAAAGAACTAATATCTAGGGGCTTGGTTCCCGAGATTCCATACTTAGAAAACTGAAGCTGGGGCTGGCGCTGTGCCAGAGTGGGATAATCCTGTGCCTGTGGCGCTGGCATCCCATATGGGTGCCGGTTCTAGTCCCAGCTGCTCTCTTCTAATCCAGCTCTCTGCTGTGGCCTGGGAAAGCAGTAGAAGATGGCCCAAGGCCTTGGGCCCCTGCACCCACATGGGAGACCGGGAAGAAGCACCTGGCTTCAGATCGGTGCAGCTCCAGCTGTGCCTGGGGAGTGAACCAACAGACAGAAGACCTTTCTCTGTTTTTCCCTCTCGCTGTCTGTAACTCTCTCAAATAAATAAATAAAATCTTAAAAAAAAAAAAAAAGGAACTGAAGCTAATAAAAGAAATCAAAGTACTTTGCAAAGTGCCACATAAATGCTTAACGTTAACAGTAACCTTGTTTGTGGTAATCTATTCTTGGAAAGAACTTAGAGCTGTCTTTTAACCGCATCATTCTTTTTTTGTTAACTAGCTTGGTTTTATGCTTGTTTCAAAGAGCTAATACCCAGCGTAAGATGGCCCAAGTCCTTGGGCCCCTGCACCCACGTGGGAGACCCAGAAAAAGCTCCTGGCTTCGGATTGCCCAGCTCCAGCTGTTGCTACTATTTGATAGGGATTGAACCAGCAGATGGAAGTCTTCTCTCTCCCTCTCTTTCAAATAAATTTTTTTAAAAAATCTTAAAAAAAAAAAAACCCGAGAAAACTCAGTTAAAAGAAAAAGCTAATACCAATACAAACTGATTGCATTCCTATATCAGAAAATGTGTCTTATGATTATAGGAAACTTACTAATTTATAAGATCTTCTATAAAAGGGAATGCACAAACTACAAAAATTAGTCTATTTTATTTTCATTAATACACATATATGTTTCTGTCGTAATTTTTGGGAGAAGAGAGGGAGATGACAGGACAACACAGGAAAACAAATTAGAAATGAATGTTACACATTACTGAATTTAAAATCTACTAGCCAGTCTCATCATTAGTCCAAATTCTCATCAGCTGCGTCCTCTTAGTGTCCTCATCTTGGGACGCTCAAGACTCTTCCTCTCATACAAAGGTGCGCTAACACGTCACACCTCAGCTCCACTGACCTCCTTGAGCAGCTTTACTTATCCAGTAATATTTGTATGTGTTTTAAAAAAGAAGAGCTGAAGAGTAATTATTAAATTTACCTGGGAAGCCTGTTAAATTTGTGCCTGACAAGAGCACACTTCCCACCACACTTCTCACAAGAATACTCAAGTTCTTCTGCCTATGAAAAGACAAGAGGGAAAAATAAGAAGTATGAGGTTGAATCACCCTTTTTTTATTTGAAGCTTGTTTTTTAAATTAAAAGTGTTCCACTTCTGATCCAGTTCCCTGCTAATAACCTGGGAAAGCAGCAAAAGATGGCCCAAGTGCTTGGGCCCCTTCACCCATGTGGGAGACCCCGTAGGAGTTTCAGGTTCCTGGCTGCAGCCTGGCCCAGTCTGGCCCTTGTGGCCATTGGGAGCAAAACAGCAGATGGAAGATCTCTTTCTCTGTAACAGTGCCTTTCAAATAAATAAATAAACTTTAAAAACATATATTATTTATAAATATTTCTCAATTATGTTCCACACAGTGTTGTTGAAATTTTGCCTTGAAGAAATCAACTCTAAATACAGTTATCTGTATATAAAATTTAGTTATGTGAAAATACCAAAGATATTACTTACCCTAAAGAAAAGATCAAGAGAATCCTGAATTGAACGAGGAGGGAGTGGCTTTTTCCTACGAGGAAGGTCAATCGAAAGGTCATTAAACTGTTCTCTTTTGGGAATGATTTCTCCACATCTGCAAGGAGACAAGTGTAAGCATCAGAAGAATACCAAAGAAACACAATACAAGGGCACTTCAAAATGTTCATGGAAAATGTTTATGATGAAAAAGTTATGCATGGATCTTTAAAGTTTTTTGCACCAAAATAAATTTATCTTTTAATTCTATCTTCCACAGATCATCTGAAGTACATGTTATCCTTGAGAAACACTGTTCTACAGAATTTGTTACACTGACCCACTATGGCTAGGCATAAAAAACACACATTTAAGACGTTTTCTCATGCTTGCTTTAATACTTATTAAATTGAAACAGATAAAATCTCAATTGCAAGTATTTAAGTCCTTTCTTGAAATGCCATATTTAAAATTTCTGTATTTTCAAAAAACCTCAAACTTAAAAAAAAAAAAAAACCACTAAAGTATAATGTACACCCAATGGAGCAAGCATAAATTTAATAAAATTTCATTATATTCTTTATTTTTCGTCAATATCCACTGTATTGAAAATGTCTAACCACACATCTAATGACTGTTTCCAGATGTATGAGTTTGTTTTCTATATAGATGCTACAAGTATCTTTAATTTTTTTGCATGGAGATGTCTAACTAGAACAAAAATAAATGTAAATTCATAGTCTAATTAAATTTTATAAAATTTAAAAAAAAGGTATGATGTATATATAGAATCAGTCACACTTCTACAGCTTGATGAATTCTGAGTTGGCACCCTCCCCAACTAATCAGTAAATCAAGAAATAAAACACAATGAATTACTTAGGAGCCTCCTCACATATCTCCACCCAACCACTACCCTTTTAATTCACCAAAAATATAACTACTAATTCTGACTTCCAATATTATAGTTGAGTTTTGACTGTGTTTGAACCTTACATAAATGGAATTATATGGTATGCCCCCCTCCCTCACTGGTCTTTCATTCAAGATGATTATAAGATTCTATCATGCCTGCTAAATATGACTAGAGTGCAATTTCATCATGTCTAGTATTAAACTGAATGAATATTGCATAATTACCTAATATTACTATCAAAGGACATTTGGAGTATTTCCAATTTTTGGCTATATAAACAATACTACTTTGAAAATTCTACAAGCTTTTGGCTCATATGTGCAAGTACTTCTGTTACATAGCAGAATCATTATAGTAATTTGAATAGAATTTTTTTTTTTTTTTGACAGGCAGAGTGGACAGTGAGAGAGAGAGACAGAGAGAAAGGTCTTCCTTTCCGTTGGTTCACCCTCCAATGGCCGCCACGGCCGGCGCACCGCACTGATCCAATGGCAGGAGCCAGGTACTTATCCTGGTCTCCCATGGGGTGCAGGGCCCAAGCACCTGGGCCATCCTCCACTGCACTCCCTGGCCACAGCAGAGAGCTGGCCTGGAAGAGGGGCAACCGGGACAGAATCCGGTGCCCCGACCGGGACTAGAACCTGGTGTGCCGGCGCCACAAGGCGGAGGATTAGCCTAGTGAGCCGCGGTGCTGGCCTTGAATAGAATTTTTAAAAATGGTCTTAGAGATCCAAATATATTCAAGTTTTCTAGAAGTAATTTATTTCTTTTAAAGTTTTAACTGATTCTTTTTCATTTTATCTTATTAGAATTTTTAGTAATACTATCCCATTTTCTGCCCTAGTTCCCTAATCCAAGTTGAAGACTGGGGACAATAAGAATATCCGACAGGTCTTCAGAAAGTTTGGAGAAAATGAGGATTATGAAAAACCATGCACAGACTTCAAAAAAATATCTACACCAAAATAAACAATTTTTAAATTAATTTTCCATGAACTTTTGGAAGTACCATTATATATATATTTTTTTAAAGATTTATTTATTTATGGCC